TTTTTTTAATTTATAGTGTATTTGTAATATTTAGTTTAAGTGTTCTACCCCTTTTTAATGAAATAAATTATTATATTATATTAGTTTCACTTTTTAGTCACCGAATTGATATTGAGTACCCACAGAATGTCATTCCCATAAAATATAGTTAGCAAAATATGTAGTTTCTTTTTCAGATTAGTTATCATAGTAACAAATTGAGTCGTGTTGTATCTAATAATGATTCAACACCACTCAATATATATACCTACATATAAAAAATTCATGGTATTTACTTTATACTATTTATATTAATAAATTATGAACATGTAATAAATTATGAATATGATATATTTTGGGTAAGCATCTCTCATTTTATTATTTACTTATTACATAACACACTATTTGTTAATTGTGTGTATTTGATTGCGTATATAAAAATGTCAATGTCTCGTGTGTGGTGTTTGTTTGGTGTGCCTGTGACGCACTCCATGGGCTCCACATGATACAGCCATGGACGCCGCCCGTGGCTCTCAGCCACCACGGCATATGCTGAGTGGTGCCCATTCAGTATTTTTAAATTTTTTTAGTTAAGTATAATTTATTTTTTTATTCTGTAAGTACCAATTTAAAATGAATGGTACTGAATAAAATTTTGTTTCTTCCATTCTTCTTTCTTTCTAAAATGTGACAGTAAGGGTCGATTGCGGTTGCATTGATAAGTACTGCCAAAATTTATTTACTTCTGACGTCTAAACTGTTTTTTTACATCCAGTACACATTCCAAAGAGACTTCTGTTATTTGCATTGATTCCGTGGTTCAACAAATAAATAAAATACTTATTAAAAACAATATACAAAATAACATTACTAATTCACTTAGAGCTAATTCATTAAGATTACCTATACATATGTTATCCCAAAGCCAGTAAATATAGACTTATCATTCTGTCCGATCAATAGATTTACGCTTCTAAGAATTACAATACAATACATATACAGTTATTATTATTATCAATTCTTCGAATAGTGGCATTGAAAAGCAAGTAGGATCTTATCGTTAAATTCTAAATCAGTAAATTCCCCTACTCGATTGGTTAGTGTTGCTATTTTCACACCCAAAATAAATTTTCCTAGATTTTGGGGTAAAGTGTATAACTTGTACTAACTTCTAACCTGATGCTATATAAATGATGCAAACAATTATTTTCTTCATCCTGTAAAATTGTCAAAATTGAGATAGTACCGGTTGCCAGTTCAGTAGATATGGCATTTAGCTCTAAGTGCTGAACCAATAACATTTTATCCATTTCGCACATAATAATGTTATCGATATCGTCATTTCATCATAATTGACAACTTTTATAGTACGTAAAGAGTTCCGACGGGATTACCGTAAATTATTTTTGTGAATTAGGTCCATGATTAAACGTAAAATAATTATAATATGACCATTTAGATCGATTATTCAATATTTGCAAAATGCTTTACAACGATATTAAATATGTTAATTTGCATACTCGCCATATTTACAGAGGTCATTCTATATCCGAAACTGAACCCAAATCACTACAAAAAAAAATTCGTAAATTCCTATATTTTATTTAATTGCGGTAAACAAATTTGATCCAAAGGTCCATTGACTTGCACGGCACTTGCAAACATTTTGAACAATGACCTTAAGTGCGCAGAAAGAAACGCATTTTAGATCTATTTGGTGGTGGGGTGTGGGTAGCGACGGCGGGAGAGTGTCGTTTCGAGCGCGCGATTGGTAGATCAATCGACCTCGCTTCCTGTACTGCGTCTACGTCACGCTGACATCCCGCATAGGTACATTCTATTCTAGCTTGTCACGAATTGCCACGTGGTTTAGTATGTAAACAAGAGGTAGTAGTGCAAAAAACGAGTTAGTAGTACAAGTGCGTGTCTATTCTTAGGGCATGATGTGAAACATTTAGTATACGCGTAAGATACGAATGTCGAAGTTTCTGCTTTCAAAGTTGTGAAGTCTAATGTTAAAACGAAACTCAAGTGCGAATCTCTGCATAGCTGTGGAGCTAGATACTTCTAGCAATACTTTCATGTAACCTAAAGTTGGCAAGTGTCAAATCTAAGTTGCAAAAACCTTTTTTCAGTCAACTTTTCTAATTAATGTACATAAATAATAAATTATAACAATATTAGCCAGAATGTTAAACAGAATTTTTATTTTTAGATGATTTAGCATTATTTCTATTATTAATTTCTTAAATATGGCGAGAATGGAAATCAACACACTATATATTGTATATATATGTATATGTGTGTGTGTATATGTAATGTAATTCCAACCTGGACTAGACTGGATGTGGCAAACATTTTTTACAAGTTTGTATGGCGCAAGACAGTCCATTTCGTTTTTTAGTTCCACTTTGATAGAGGAGACTGCCTATGGATGGCGCCTCCAATTATAATACTAGATGAGATGTTAATTTCATTTACCCAATACATTTACAAATACGTAGGCAGGTTAGCTTTGAAATAATAGCCACATTTTGTTTTCGTGGTACAGATCGTGTGCCAGTTTTGCCACTTTAGCCGATTTTTACCTAGATCTAGCTACATTTACGAAAATGTTAGCTACAAACAAAAATGTTTGTTACTTATAAATCTTTTAGCTACCGTTATTAGCTATTTTTAAACACTTCAACAAAAGTTATGCCTTTTTAGTCAATTTGTAATCCAAAAAAGTGAATAAGTAGCCATCAAAAGTTTAACAAACGAATGTTGTTGTAAGTTTTGGCAATAACAGCTATAATCTTACCTCATTCAGACGCTGAAGTGGAGAGGTTTTTTTTCTGTCATAAGCATTATTAAAATTAACCATAGAAATAGAATGAGCTTGCTCACAATAAATAAATTCAATATTAAGCATCAGATGTTTATTTTAAGAAAAATATGAGATGTGCGACTTACTCAATCCCAGATAACGTCTTAAAAGTTATAGGAAAAACAAACAAACAACACAAAACAGAGACGATTTTTGCGCGCAATTCTTCGACACTCGTAATCTGCGTAAACTAAACGTTTCACATTATGCCATAAGAACGCACTTGATGGTAATACACATGGTAGCGGTTTTTCCGGACTAACTCTTGTTTACATCACACACAAACCACGTTGCATTTCGTGGGAAACTAGAACGTATGCGCGATGTCAGTGGAACGCAGACGCAATACGCAAGGTGGACTGATGATCTACCAATCACGCGATATGATACCCGTCTCTACTCGTACCCTGCCACCAAATAGATCTAAAATGCATATTTTCTGCGCATACGTCATTGTTCAAATGGTTGCCGGTACCTGTGGCACGTGTAGTGCATGTCAAAGACCTTTGGATCAAACTTGGTTACCGCAATTAAATAAAAAATAAGAATATAGGAATTTTTTGTTTATTTTTGTAGTGATTTGGGTTCAGTTTCGGATATAGAATGATCTCTGTAAATATGGCGAGAATGCAAATCATCACATTGTACAGATAGCAGTTTCCTTCAATACTTTGCGTATAGGTTCATCACCTAAAACAGATAAAAATAAATTAATAAATGATAACATATACTGGTAGAATAATGAAATAAGTATTAATGATAGCAGTGCCAGAGTGCCAAGAATGAAAAGGAACACATGATATTTGTTTTGCAAAATTTCAGCCTAACCTGTCCTCAGGTTTAAATTGAGACGCACATAACCTCAACGAATTAGTAGCCTTAAAATTTTTCCTTCGAAGATTTTTTTCTCACAGTTTCTTCTCTTGGTTCTTTAGGGAATAAATGTATTACCGTATTTTTGCAATCAACTGCTGCACAGAGGGTCATAATGAAAAATTATTTCTCAAAGACTTTGTTTGTTTACAAAACCACTGACAAATTATAGCTATAGCTGTCAAAACCGAACTCTCTACAGTGGTGACATCTGGAAGGAGCAATAGGCAGTATAACAGTATAACGTCTGGCACGGTATGCTAGAAGACGTCAGTTCGAATCCGGTCGGATCGAAGGAATTTTTTCTGAGTGTTCGATCTTTGTATTAATAATTATAACAAACTATAATTTTATTTTATTAATTGCTGTTTTTCATTTGGTGTTTACGCTACTTTAGGCTATCACAGCTAAAACTCGACTACATTTGGCTACTAAGGTTGTGAAAAATGGCGACATTGGACTCAGCGTTGTTGGCAACACTGATCAGTATTTATGATCAGTGTTTCCCAGCATGTATCATAGACAGTTCTCTTGTCAGCGTATCGGCGTAAAGTTGCAGTAATATCACATTCTAGAATCCTACAAATACCTGTATTTTGTGTCTAATCTAATTAGTACTGAATTTGTAGTGAAATAAGTCCGTCGAACCGTCGAATTTTAGAAGAATTTTTTTGGAGTACACATTGCCGACAATTATGGTATGTATTTTCATTACTAAGTGTACACGGCGCACCGTAGGCTGAACCTGATATTGTTAACACAAAGAACAGACATTTTGTCGCGTCTACTCGTAAAAGTGCAAGTACTGCAGTTGAATTTTTTGGTATCAACGATCGGAATTATACGCAAGCAAGCACACAAATTACGTTTACCTACATTTCGAGATGAAAAATTGATTTATATTTCTGCATACAAAACACTACACAGCTTGGTCACTTTATAATAGTTTTTGAAGAATAGAAAACAAAAACTTGTAAGCTTTTGTTTAGACATGAAAATATACCATCTAATCTATATCTAACCCTATTTCGCCAGATTAAAAACGAGAGGCAATGTTGCTTGTTAACCATTGATATCGAACACAAAAACTATGGAATTTATGTACGTAAAAGTAATACTTAGCTAGATTAATTTTATATGACTGTTAATTATTAAGACAATTTTGAAATAGGTACCTAGTTTTGAAAACTGATCCAAATTAAAACGTCAGGAACACTTGTACGATGTTTATTCTTCCAATCAATTTATAATATTCTTTATTATCCACCTTTCTTTACATTAATAATTACGGTACGCCTTCCACATTACCCTTGGTGTTGTGTATTTGACATTCTTAGGTCGTGAACAATAATAATCTCTTTTTTCGCTTTTTAATAAGAAAAATTAACTCTGAACCAAAAATGAACGAACGATTGCATCATCGAATAAAATAATGTGAGTGAGCGTATAAAAGTCAAATGCACAACTCGGCTAGTCAGTTAATTTGTTTGTGATTAAATTACAATTCTTAAATAGTATTTCTTTTTTTTTAAATATGAACCAATTACACAGTAATGTCAATAATATAACATAATTCTTTTGAATAATCTAACACTAGGTATATTTCTATTAGCCGGGACGGAGGTAATTTCCTACGGGCCGTCTCCCTGCTGCAGGATTTCGATCACTTTAACCGCGATTTAATTGTTATGAAAACTACATAAACATAAAGCCTGTAGTTTTGTTAGATCCATACGAAAGGGGAAGGCACCCCTTATTATATCCTGATTTTTAATTTTTCACTAATCGCCGTTAATGCAACTAAGTCACATTACTTGGATTCACGGAGTAGCAAGGTAGGTACATAACTTACTTAAATTTTATTAATCTGTCTTAATTATGTGCAAGCATTATGTATGTATGCACGTTTTATAACAAGTGTTATAAATAATCTAAACACCGATTAGTGTTAGAGGCTACATTAAGTTGGAAGATTATTCATACATATTATAAATAATAGTCGTTAACGTACAGGTATGGATTTGTGATTAGATTACAGGTATAATCTAATCTTTGTGTGGGTAGGTAGAGACGAATATACGTCATTACAAGGTTGCTATATTTTATTTTTTCATTTAAATCAGGAGGATTATTGTATAACTTTATATATGGACTTACATATATAATATAAAAACTGAACAACTAATCTACACGAAATGCACTTGTTGACGACGACGTGTGCGGCGCAATCAGGGGTCTACTCTTGATCTCCGTCCGACATCCGTCCAATACAATTACTGCCAAATAAGCAATACTTGACCAAATGAAAAGACGCGTGATGCGAATGAAGCTTCATATTGGATACTTGTCTTATAATTTTGTCGAATATTACTTATTTGACAGTAATTTTTTCGGACGGAAGTCTGACTGGTGTCATGTAACCTGTCTCGGTATCGCCGATATACAACACCCTTCGGCGAAAACTCCTCCTTCATGAAGATCGACAGATGTTCGGTCTCATTACAAACTACAAACGAATAAATTCACGTTGTGGCGGGGATACAACCGCTCGACCTCCAGGATGTATTTGGTTTTTAGTTTGATATACTCCACCTTTAAAATTTAAAATATATGTATAAGCACTGTAAACTGGGGCGTAGCTTAGGATGCGTAGCGAGAGGTACTTTTATGAATATAAACTGGAATAATCTTCAAAACTTGGTTTATTGTATTCTTTCATATATTTTCTGATTCGGGTTACATTACGAACTCTCAAGATGTTCTATTCTTTCTTATTTCATTTTTCAAACACGTTCTAAATACAAAACTATATTCACTCAGCCAGTGATTTTACTCGTAGAGTAGAGCCTAGACTACAGTACCTAGGTACGTACAATATAATTTTACTTTTTTATAACTTTTCACGATACCTTCTAGTTTAACGCAATCAGATTAACACCCTGTATAGCGCTATGTTTGCCGCGAATGCGTGCCGGGGAATGCCACACATTAGTCCTTAGTGTAGTTCGCGGCGGGAAATCGGCACGAAGGCGGCCGGTGTGACACCAAAAGCGTCACGCCACATTTCATTTTCAACACTAATAAAGAAAGGACCATGCCACTGTCAGATAGTGATGAAGAAATAATAATTCGTGAAAATAAAAATGCCCAGTAAAACAGATAGAAAAAGAAGTTTCATGTTAATTATGTTAAGATTGTTCATAATAATGCACTTATACATAAGTTAAACAAAATAGTTGTTGTTATACAAATCTTAGATTGATACTTGTTATTTATTAAAATAAAAATGTCTAATTAGACTGATAGAAAAAGAAGCTTCAATTTAATTATATAGATTGTTAATAATAAAGTAAGTAGGTACAGTAGTTAAATGCAATTATTATTGTTGATTCTACAAATCTTAGATACCTATTATTTGTTATAATGAAAATGCCCAGTGAGTCTCACTGAAAAAGTAGTTCAAGTTAATTGTGTTAAGATTATTGAATTTTTTTTAATGTTTTTAAATAAACAATTTCTGATTATGGGAAATTTTTATTCAAAACCTTGTCCCAAAACTCAACGATAACCTGGGAACAGGATGTTGCCTAGTTTGTAACAATCCAGAAAAAACAATTATAAAATCGGATAGGAAATGAAACTATTTTTCCGGATTTAAGTCGCATATATTTGTTTTTTCAAACAAACCGACGTTTCGGGCCCTTTACAGGTCCCATGGTCACGGTTGACTGAGGTGGTACAGTCTTCAACCAGTTATGTCTAATATTGATGCTGGATGCTGCGAGAGGTCATTGAAATTAAAAAACAACCTAATTTTAACAGGGAAGATGGTTTCTCCGTACCACCAGTTGGGATCCAGTATTTCCTCTAATGAAAAATCGCAAACAGACATAAGACTTAAGACTCTGTGACTGTCCCTATCAACCTCTTGGTAATACGGGAAGGGTACTATAACCTGTGCAAACAAGCCCGCACAGGGACCTTTTCAGTCAGATCCTGGGGGTCTACTCCCGTGCTGTCAAATAATTGATTCTCAGCTTGCGCAATTTACGGTTGCCACCGCCGTTGACTTTATAGTCCACTACCAAATCTCCTTTATGGTGGCGAAGCTGTAGGCACGCTCACCTCCCGATGCCGTAGCGCCTCTCCAGTTCCCAGAAACCCACGCAGCTAGAGGGACCGGAGGATATCTAGCTCATCCTCTACTAGCTCTCCGGGTTCACGAGTCCTTTCACTTCCGTTTTTCCCTTGCTTGCGTTGGCTGGGTACACGGCGTAGAAATCTGCCTTCCGCGCAAAGGCGTTCACGAGTCTTCCGCTTTACGTTGAGAGACTTGCGCGGAGCCTTGCCATTATTTTGGTTGTAGAGGACGCGTGCATCATCTACTCCGTGATTGGCCAGTGGTGCTGTCCTCCGCAACGTTCCCTGTTGCTTGCGTGGAAATATCAAGCTTGCTAGATATCAAACTCACGCAACGTAAAGAAATCCAACGCAAAGCAAGCGGCCGGCGCAAGCGAGCGATTCGTGCACAGTCCTGCCTGCGCTTACGAGACAGACCTTTGCGTATGCGCGAAGCGAGTCACGCAAGCAAACGAACAACGCAAGTCAAAGAATCGTGAACCGGAGTGCCGGAGATGCCGATCGCAGTGGCCTGCGATAAGGTCCGAACATAGCTTCCGACTTGAAAGGGCAACTCACGTGTCCCGCGCGTCTCCTTTCCTTATGACTTCGTCTAGACCATAGAGATAAGGTCTAGACCGACTGCTTGCCGAAGGAGGCGCAATCAATGATGCGCTGTTTGCACCAAGTCGACTGTCGCCTCCGCCGAAAAAACCAAGTCGAAATCACGTCAGTGTGTTTAAAGTCGTCACTACGAATCGCTTCCTAGCTTCACTGTTTTTATATAATTTATAAGACGCGTTGCAAGCGAAGATATCCAAGTGATTAATAATAATCAAGATGCCATATTAACTAAACTATTTCTATTTAAAAATCCAAGATGCCATTTAGAATTAGACCAATGCGACGCAACAATTTGCCTCTTATTTTTTTATTGCTGAGTTTTAGTTAAAATAGTAATAGGTTACAATAATTACACGCCCGGGGTCGATAATGGAGCCTACCCGCACTACGTACCATTATGCCTTTCCTGTATGTCTGGTGCGCGTGGGCAACAATCGGCGAGCACCCTGCGGCGATTGGCAAATCCTTTCACCACGATGGCAAGCATTATAGTCTTTGCCATGGATAGATAAGAAGAATAACGATGTGATTATTTGTTCCAGGTACCAAACCAGCTACACAATAGATAAATACAGAAACAATGGGTGACGAATTTCGTCGTTTTCGTCAAGGTAACTAAATGAATCTTGAAATCGAACATGATCGACCAATAAGTAAACCAGAATGTTTTAGCAATAATCTATAAATTATATTATGTAGAACCTATTCAAACTGATTGTAGTTGTAAGTAAAATATCATTCGCAATTCTTTTAACGTAGTTTTTTCATTCTCGTCAAGATTATTACAAAATTTTTACCACTGAAATGTAAATAAATTATTTAGGTTTCTGTAATTTTTACCTATTTATATTGCCAGAAATAAGAGTACCTTTTTTCAATAATTCTACTAAAAGCTGCAGTCTGTCACGCATGGTAGCAAATTTTTTGTTATGGAAAACAAATAGCCACGAAATGCATAACAATTTAAAAGTTCACCATAGTAATAGTGTAAAGTAACAGTCATGATGCATAGGTCATGGTTTGAGCAATCTAATTGGTCGGATAAATTTTCATAGTAAGTGGTTTAGGAATTGAAGTTTCAGAAAGAAAAAAAATTGTAGTATTCGAATTTAATATGTGTACATATTACACATCCTCCTTTAATATGTGTACATATTACATACCTCCATCTATGAAGGTGGAACCTGAAAAGCAGCAGGCAGTAGTGCTGAGGTTCCATCCTTTTCATTGGCACTAGAGTCCACATTTCCGAAGCTCTTTATTGTTAACAATTTTATTGTAAATGTGCTTATGAATAAATGTCTTATTATTATTATATCTAATGTAATAAGAAGGCGACTTATTAAAAATCGAATAAAAATATCAAACTGATTACTCGGTACACCAATATACGATACGAGATGATGAAATCATACGGCTAAGCCTGTACTTAGTCAAATATTCATTGATGATTTGATTAATGAATTATTAATGATTTTGAGATAAATACACACACCACCACATTTAGCGAAACGTAGGGTTTTTCAAAAGTGTAGTCGTTCATATTACTTTTTTTTGGTCTAAATTGAAAATAAAAAATTAGTCGACTACTAAAAACGAGTCATTTTTCCATTAATTGCAAAAAATATAATAATAATGAATATTAAATTGTTTAAATGTCTAAACATTTCATTTGTTTCTGCTTTGTCATAAAATCTAAAAAGAATGCATTTAGTTATATTGTATGTATATAATATTTGGTTATTGGTTTAATTCCGATTTTTTCAATAAAGGTTAAGTCGGTATTAAGTCGATGTTAAAAATATGAATGTATTAGAAAAAAATAGAGATGGAGTATATCTCTATTTTTTAACCGATTTCAAAAAAAAGGAGGAGGTTTTCAATTCGACTGTATTTTTTTTATGTATATTACGCGATAACTTTTTTATTATTTTTTAAATAGGATTTGATGATTCTTCTTTTGTTGGAAAGAGGGTACCTCAGGATTGGTCCCATTTAAATTTGAAGATAATACTCCACCTCTAAAAGTGGCAAACTAGGTGATACGATAAATCCAGTTTCGTGCACTTTCCAGTAACCGATTTAAAAAAAACTTGGCAAATAGATGTAATTCCACGAACTTTTGAGGTCGGTTTTTTTAGTACTTTGTACTGAGATTATTATTAAAAATATTAAATATACATATATGTAATATAATATTAATTTAGTACCAGTATAGCTCCTTGTGAAAGAGTTCGTCCAGGGAAGTACTGCCACCTTTCCTATTTCTGCCGCCAAGCAGGAATGTCAGCATTACTGTGTTCCGGTTTTGAAGGGTAAGGGTGCTGGAGAAATTACGGGCACATGAAACTTGTGAACTTATGTCTCAGGGTGACGGGCGCAGGGCAGTGCCCCTCAGATCTTAGCGATTTAAAGCTCTGAGTGGCACACAACTGTTATGGACAGGCGTGTAGCTTACCATCATGCGCACGACTTGTTCATTCCGTCACTCGATATTATAAAAAAAGTAACTATTTTATATTGTCGTTTTTTTGTTCCGCTAACAGTATTACTTATATGCAATCGAGCATCGTGTTTATAAGTGGCCTAATAGGAACGAGATTTTAAGACCTTATGTAATAATTGCATACAATACTTTTTCTACGTGTAAATTAAAATAATGAAACACAAGCAATATTTAATGTATATTTTGTTAACAATCCAGGACAACAAACTCAAACGAAAGGAAAACAATACGCTACAAAACAAAAATAACTAAAGAGATACGATAATAGTGTATTTTCTAGTTCATTGTAAAATTCAGATTATAAGTACTGTCGTCTAATTTATTATATGTTAATTAGAATCTAATATTGATATGTTGTTTTCAATTTTGAGAAAAATGACATTTATGTTGGATTCTGCATTCGGACCTTAAAGACTATTTATTTTTTCCATCCTCTAAGATTCGGACACGCCACTGCTGTCAGGTTTTAGACATTTTTTTTTCATAAGGCCCGAAAGGTTTATTGGGAAGATTTTGTGCTCTCCAGTTACCTTTCGACCTATATTATACACTTTTTTTTTTGTAGATTTTTGATTTGCTAAATAAGTGGAGTTTAATGCATGGACACAGAAAATTGCAGCTTCGGAGAAATGTCCTTATAGTTTAACCTATCAAGAGTCAGTAGGGAGTTTGAGTAGCATCATATTTGATATTTTAAATTGTTTATATACATATAGTTCTTTTTTGTCAATGGTTACGCCTTTGTGCCTGTTATGTAACATTTTGAGACATTATTTAATAAAATATTATTAATAATTTTACAAATACATGTTGTGACATTATTCAGTTCAGGAACACAGCGACACGTTTAAGAAAACTCTTTTAATTAGCAAAAATATAACGTTCTTTTTTAAACTCATTATAGTTTCTTCACTCAAGTTAAAAGAAACTTGTTTGTCAAAGCAAGGTGGTAACTCAAAAACACAATTGGTCGCTCTATTGAATCCAAATTCTATAGTAAATTGGTTGCAACGAGCACTTGCCTCGGGCAATACCGCACCTTTTCTTCTTCACGCCAGAAACGAGTGATAATGGCAGTGGACTAGGCGGATCTTTATTTTTTACGTCACTAATGAACACGGTGAATAGCATCCATATAGGATGGTTGGATACAGGTTATCCCAAAACTCAACTCCAAGCGGGCACCGAGCGAGAGGCCAGGTTGTATAAGTTTTGGTAATAGTAAAATAAAAAACCCATGTCAGTTAAGTGATAATAGACATATTTTTGAAAATATTGAAAATCTACACCATTGGGTTCTCTCATCACAATTTTTCAAATTTTGCAGTGTTTTTTTTAAAGTAGTCCTAGTAATTAGCAAAAAAAAATAGCAAAAGGACCACATTACAAAATAATTATAACTTTTTTTATAACAAATAAAAGACCTCAAAAGTTTGTGGAATCACATATATTTGTCAAGTTATACTGAAATATAAAATAAAGCACAGAATATAAAAATAACTTACCAGACAGCAACATCAGTTAGCTGGTCTCTCAAACTAAGAAATTCTCTTTACCTTAAGTACCAACTCTACGAAATTCAGCCAAGAGCACTACCAAGAACACTGAGAACCAATTTAGAATAGTTCGTTTCACAAATTATCCCTACCGAGAATCGAACCGATTGGGCCACCGACCTTGTCAGATTTGGTTGAAGGGCTTAGGCCGTTTCAACGGTTAAATCGTTAACTGGCTTACGACACGAGCTCGCTTATCTTTTTTATACAATTCCTATAAATATATCTAATTAGTAACTATTTATTACTATTGGTAATTTACGCTAGGTCCACCACGACCGAATGGCAGAGGCGGACAATACAGAAATAATTGGAGGCAGCGTGACACGAACAACGGACCGCAGTCAGAGGAAGCGCAAGCGCAGCGTGGTCGTTTTCAAGGACGACATTACAACCAACAAGGAAACAGTACGCATTAAAATTAAACCAAATATTTGCAAATATTCCATATTCATATTATATCTGTGGCTCGGTACAGTCAAGAGCACATCAAGCTTGACGCGCTCTTTGCCCTGTAGAAGAGCGTAAGAAGAGAGTAAATTACCAACAACAACAAAACAGTGCGCATTACACTTACATTAAGTAGTTGCAAAAAATAAGACCAAGAAATGAGTAGGTAGGTACGTACTTCTTTATTTCGAAAATTATAAAATTATTTTAACATTTGATTCGCAGGACCTCTTGAACAAAATGAGAGACAAGACTCTCGTGAAAGACAACATCCAAATAACAGGAGTCAAAATCATCAGAACCAAACTCGCGTTATGGGTTTCAGGCTTTTGGAAACTTTAGCACAAGCAGACATTGAAGAGGTTATCGTTAAAATAAACAGTAGCAAAGACTCATTTATTAACCTCTTGAATAACATAAACCCCAAGGATGAATCCAATCACAACATGTTTGTACTGATCATGGAATTGTTATCCAAAGTTTCCTTGTCTACATTCGTACAACTAAAGTTGACATTGCTGCTCAAAGTATGTGACTCAGATTTCATCGGACTATTTGAAATGTATTTGATGAACTTGCCAACAGTAACCAGAAAAACAAGAAACAAGTTGTACTGGGACAACCAAGAACGTTTTTGGTTAAACTTTTCAACATTTTGTGAATGCGTGATAAACATTTCGCCTTCGACGGCTACGCTTAAATTAAAATCATTGATAGATAGCATTTCTAAATTCTGTATAGCGGAGTTGACTGAGAGGCATGGACTTGTTTTATCAGAAGAAACCAAACTGAAGATATCTTCTTTACGACAGAGGTTGGTTTTCCGTGAAGACGAAGAAAAGGTAAGTGATAGTGTTGTCTATTACTTATGTACTTTGATATTTGATGTTGCATTTCTGTTCCCGCAAACGGACGCAAAAGGTAGTTGGATCACCTCTATTGCACCTACATTTAACGTACATAATAATTATGATCTTGTAACTTTTCACATATACTTACAAAAAACAGCATTATTAGTAGTTACGCGTAGACTGATAGACTCATATACTTGTAAACTGTATGTCCCAAATGCGAGTATTAGTAAGTACGTTCAATGTGCTGCAGACAAAGAAACAGAGACCACAATATCTGTTTGGTGAAGATGAAGAACCACCGCAAAACTTCAGAGAATTGAGCGTAGTGCCTACTCTCGAGGACCTATTGGATAGTCGGCCGGCATTTCTGCGGCCCAACATCGTAAGAGGCAAGTACCGCGACATGGAACACTACCTTGACGTCCAGTTCCGCTTGTTGCGTGAAGACTGCTTCGGACCTCTCCGTGATGGAATCAGTAAGTCGTTGAGGCATCCTATTGACTTCGGTTAGGTCTAGAGCATTTTAAGAAGATTTAAATTGTTCTCTATGCCTTTTGCTATAAGAACGGTCCAAATTGTCAAGCTTGATGTACTCCTAACTATAAAAGCCAATTGTGAACTAATTGAAGTGAAAATAGTGTATGAATTTATAGATTATTTGACATTTCTGTGAAATATGAATAGTGAGAAAATAGATACAGTACTAACTAACGATACGACTTGAATGATCCGTTACAGTAAAAGCTTCTAACATCAGAATAAAAAATGTTTCATCTACAAGACGGACCCACTTATCATTATCACATAAAAGTCATAAAAATAATACGAAGTACGCGAGACAATTTATGTATGTGAAATTCTATAACTCTCCTACTTAACACAAACAAGTTGTCGACTAAATTTGATTTGTAGAATGTAACACCTCGCTTGAAAAGTTGTCATTTTGCAGATTTGGTGTGTGTTATTTATTACACCAATGATGCATTATTTTGATACGAATACTACGTATTTGATTAATTTGCTTTAATTTCAGATCAATTTTTAGCAGATCCTAAAAGAAAAAAGTTTGACAATATAAAGTAAGTGTACGTTTAATTTTATCACCATAACCATAAACCTACGTTTCAACGACAGATCTAGAATAATAGAAAGCGTAATCCTATGTCTGTGGTTTCAACAACTCTGGAACAATACAAACTTTGGGGTAAGCGAATTTTCAAAGTGTTGACACAGCGACTTCAAGTTACCAAAATGCACATTACGTACTTTACAGGCTGTAAGCTGCAAAAGTAATTAGTTATATTTCAACCCTATCCGACAGTCACGTTGGAACAGTAATGTTAAGGCCCTTGCAAAGGCTCAGTTCCTTTGTATATATGGATCATATGTATGGTACTCAACCTTATGCTTGAGATGAAATCTTGTATAATTGTTAAGCATTTTTATTATTTAACTATTTCAGAGTTTATCACGATGTTACATTTTTCGAGCCATACATTTCAAAGACTAAAATTGGTTCTGTGATTAAGTTAGATGAAAAGACAAACAAGAGATTCAAAAGAATAAACTGGACGCACAGTAAGAGATTCATATTTGGCTCACTGTTGTTGTTCACGAAGGATAATTGCAGAAGTTTTCTCACAGCTACTATTCTTGACCGAGACGTGAAACTCTTAAACAAAGGAATGGTAAGTTACCTTTCACTCACTAATTAGGGTAAGGCGTGACGGGCGTAATTTTGTGAGCTCTGAGTCGCGTTTTTTGAATTGTATAGTTTTCGTTGGACTGGAATTCGGTTAAGGCGCCAGAAGAACGTAGATATTTTATTCAGTTGCTTTTAAGCGCTTGTACGGGTGTTTGTGTCATACAGTGTAATAGATCCATAAAAAGTGTGCATTTATGAAGCAGTAGATGATGTTTGTTGGTAATTCAATTATGTTAGAAAAACAAAAAGAAGCTGGCTTCAATATGGAAAGATTAAAGTTTCATATACTATATGAAAGTTTATTTGCGGTGTAATAATATTTATTTCTCATAAGAATTCACTTACATGAGAAATTTCACATCCATATTTGTCAAAATTCGGGTTTTATAGCATAAACATTCACATACCTACACTAAACTTATTTTGTAATATGTATAACTAATTTACAAATTACGAAGACATGAATTACTACTAAAAACACATGACATTAAATTCATAGACTACAATTTATGTATACTATCACATAAGAAGGTAGTGTAAGTATGGTCTATTTTAATTTTTAGAAGTCCGAAAGTAGGGCAGAAATTTATTCGGTTTCCAAACTTAACTAATATAGAAGTGAGTGCATCTGGAAGCGAACATTCAGATCAATTTGTTAAATACTACCATATGCCAATGAATGTTTACCTCGCTTCTCTACACCCGCACAAAAAGGCAGACAACTCATTTTCCGTCGTCGTATGGCACAAACCGGATTTTAACGAATGCAGTGTAAATTAGGCGACGCAAAAAACGCGACTCACAACTCAAAAGATTACGCTCGTCTGACCTCGCCCTAAGTACAACTGAATGACTACCTAAATCCTGTAGGTACTTGTCTAGATAGGTAAGTACGGTTATTTTAGGTAGATAGGTAAGCTACCTGATATATTGAACATAACCTAAGGGCAGTGTTGGGCGTTAATCAATTAAATTTAAAATCAGTTTTGTAATTGACTAAAATACCAATTTCAATTAACACCAATTGCAGTTAAACCATTAATTGCACGTTGCAATTAATTTATTCGAATTGATGTATGTTAATTATAATTCGCAATTACATCAATTGCGAATATTTTTTTAATTACTAAGAAACAATTAAATCCGAAACTACGGAAAATAGCTTCATCTATTCTCTAAGATGAAATCGAAGTCCAAAAATGTAAATAAAAGGTGATAAATACCAAAAAAAAAATTTGTTCCTACACCGTCGTGAGCAGCAGTTGAACGGTTGTTTTCTTTTGCAACAATGACAAATCTGCCGAAGAGCCACAAATTGCCCGACAGTATATTTGAAAAGAGAGTTGTGTTAAAATGCAACCTCAACTATTATAAGGAATAAGCAATCTGTAATAGTAATAACGTTTCCAATTGTGTTTAATAAATTTTTTTGATAATAAATATTAGTCTTTTAATTGCTACATACAATACATGTTATATTTCTTTCAATACATTTGTTCTAGCTGACACCATGCCACGCCCTATAAATTTATCATAATTGTCAGTTTTAATCGTTAATTTTTAATCAAAAACATTGTAAAGATTGAAAATTGATTTGTATACGCCAAATAACAATTGGTTAATCGTTAGTTGCGACCACAGCAGTTAAGAATTAATTTATTGTTAATTGTGAGAGTGCAAATATTGTTTAAGTAACGTGTTTATTCTTTTCTAGATACCAATTTCTATCGTGGACCTTGGTGTTAGTGAGAATCTTTATAACAACGACAAGTATATCATGATCGAAAGCGAGGTTTACTTCGAGGCTTACATTCATGTCTTAAAAGCACTACAGGATTCCACATTTCCACAGCATTTAGCAATGAGCAAATACATCGTACATGTGGACGTAAGTTATGCCAAATTACCATTTTATGCACTTGATTGTTCTAGTTTGTCTACGATATCATTGCATTTTTTAGCCTGAACCAAACCCGCCATCTTACTTAAATCAAGCCACTGATTTCAAAATCGAGCTTGAAGATTCAAGAAAAACTATTTTCAAACCTCTATGTGAAGAAACATGGCCATCGGAAGAAGACTTGGGTTTGAACAAAAGTCAGTACGAAGCATACAAATTGGCACTGACTCACGAATTTGCTGTCGTTCAGGGACCACCGGGCACTGGTAAAACTTTTTTGGGAGTGAAGGTGGCAAAAACATTGATTGAAAATGTTGGACCAAGATTTGGCTGTCTCTTGCTGATTATATGCTACACCAATCATGCTCTAGATCAGTTTCTAGAAGCCATATTACCTTTGACAAATTCTATTGCACGAATTGGCGGGCAATCTCGCAACGAAGCAATGGAGAAAATCAACATCAACAAATTGAGACTCCAAGCAACAAGAAAATTCCCACAAACAAACCGTCTTTATTACGAACAAATGCAGAATTTGAAATGTGCCGTGAACAAAGTGCAATATGCTCAAAACCGTCTTCATTATCTACAAGAAGGACTAATGAGCTTCAACAGCTTAAAAGACCACATTCCTGAAGTTAGAGTTTTAGGCGAATACTATACTACACACAGAAGACATATAAAAACTGATCCTTTGAGGCATTGGCTATTTGAGAACATGGAATTTGTTGAGTTTCAAACCATTATCGAAGAAGAAAATGGAAATCAAGACCCAGCAGACCAGCAAGTTGGTCAAAATGCTTTTGTCAATTATGAAGAGGAAGAAGAGCATGAAAGGACGAACTTTATTTTGGACGAATTCGATTACGACAATGACGACGAAAATAGCTTTTTGGTTGATGAACGAATCAAAGTTAGTTTTTCTATTGAAGACACAAAAAAAAAACTGAATGATGCGATTATTGTTTACAAGAAATTGGACATTACTAATATACAAAAACAACAGGAGATGCAACGACAGATGATCGAGTTGAAATCGTCTTTGAACCTGTTCAGCGTAAGATTATAATAATTAATACTTTGGCCGTATTTTTTATTGGTTTTTATTGTAAAGTGGAATATAGTTGCAATTATTTATAACGTATTACAGGAGATGTCAACGTCAAGAAATCGGGAGATTCGTTTGCGAATCATAAATGGAATGGACTTAGCAATTATCCCTCTTGCCGACCGTTGGACCCTGTACTTCAGATGGGCTGCAGTCATTTTAAATAAGATCAGAGCAAATATGCAACCGTTACAGGTATGTAATTAACTGCAAATACTTGCACGAAACATATTACTAAATAAGTTTAAATTAATTTTGTTTAATTGTAGATGGAATTGAAGGAAGCTAATACTGCTTTCGAAGAGGCAAGAATAATTACTGACTTGCAAGTTTTGAAAGGAATCAAGGTGGTCGGCATGACGACCAGTGGTGCCGCTAGATTACGGAAACTGCTTCAAACGCTAGCTCCTTCTATTGGTAATTTTTATATAACTATTACAGTCCGAATATTACCGCTTACATAGTTGTAGTAACGTCATTAGCTTAGTTTTTATTTGTTTTGTTATTCGAAACTGATGTCAACGATTTCTTATAACCTGTTCAAGAGTAGATAATCGAAAGTTTTTCATTAGATCATAAGTATAGATGTTAATATACAGGGTTATTGTAAAATATCAACAACCTCGCAGGACTATATTGCTAACATCATAAACAACAACAATAATTGTTCCTTGGCTTTTAATAATTCATCAGATTATACTTTCGTACAACAATAAAAATATTTAATGATCGCCCTAAACAGTATGAAGCAAAACGTAGGAGCGGGGCATATTTGAACTTACAACCTTACTAAATACCAAATACAGATATAAAAAGTGTCAGATGGTACAACAAAAATTTAAAAGATTATTTCTGGTTTTATTGTGTTTTGTAAAAAGACATGGAACAAAAATTGTTGTCTAAGACGTTAGGAATGTACTCCTGCCGTCCTGCGAGGTTGTTAGAGCGCGTTCCCATTAAGTCGTAACGTTTTATTTATCGTTGGACGACTTTCGCTTCTAGCCTGTTCCCATATCACGACTGTCTGTCGTGACCTTGTCGTGGACTTTTTTTTATCGTTGAACGACAATCATGTCTAGCTGTCCCCACTAGATCGTGACGACAATTTATCGATTCACGGCAGCCGCCTTGTTGTTTACATTCATGAGACACAGACAAATAACATGTGACGACAATAGTTGTCGTCATATTTTTATTGTGACGTTTTCTTTATCGTGGGACGAGTGTTGTTCTAGCTCTTCCCATTGCCTTGACAGTCTGTTGTCGTAATTTCAACTTTTTATCGTGTTGTGCTATACGTGAACAACTCCAATTAAATATACAAGCCACGACACATTAAAATGCACGACTAATCTGTCGTCACGTCAAAGTGGGAATGCAGCCTTAGTATTTTATAAATAACCTTGTGTAAGTATTATAAAACAAACTCTGTTTTAAATTTCAGTGATTATTGAAGAGGCGGCGGAAGTTTTAGAACAGCACATCGTCACTGCACTTACCGAGCACTGCAAGCACTTGATCCTAATCGGTAATAATGTTAATTTTCTCGCAAATGAGGCATGGATAGAAGGATAGAAATGCTAACAACCAAATATCTTCCAGTAAAGGGATACGCGTTTTCTTCGTTTCCCTAAGTCCACAATCTTGCATTGGGGTATTTATACTCCCCCGCAATATATTTTATCTGGTTCTATGAACCTTCTCAACCACCCAGATTTTCGTGGTATGTCTGCTTTTGCCGTTAAAGTATACAAGATAACAAATTGTAACTGATACATTGTATGGCTCTTACGTGTATAAAGAAACCAATCATTTACAGGTGACCACCAACAGTTGCGTCCTTCGGCGGCGCACATGCGATTGGCGCGGCACTTTAACATTGAGATATCATTGTTCGAGCGCATGATCACTAACGGGATTCACAGTCGGCGACTGCGCGTGCAGCATCGCATGAGGCCCGAGTTCGCGGAGCTCATTTGTCCACACATCTACACCGACCTCGAAAACCATCCCTCGGTCCGACATTTCCCCTCAATTCGTGGCATGACTGATGACTTGTTCTTCATGACTCACAACTTCAAAGAAGAGGTAATAAGTAATAGTTTCGTATTTTTAAGATAAACGTGAATTAGGTGCGTGCCACCCCAAAATATCCCTAATTTTAAAATGAGTCTGAATGTCGTTTTTTTATCGTTTTAGCAAGTGGATGATAGTTCGAGTCGAACGAACCAAAAAGAAGGCGATCTAATTCTTGGCCTCGCCAACTACCTGATGCAACAGGGCTACCAACCTGAAGAAATTACAATTCTTGCAGCTTACTCTGGCCAAATGTTCTACATGAGAAAGGTAAATGTTGTCTTATATCGTGCACAAAAGTTAAATTGGTACGTCGAAAACTGGTTCTTATTTTTTAATCATAAGATAGCATCCACATGGACATTGACAGAAAAATTGTTTTTCAGCAACGCGGTCATTACTTGCATCTGTCGAAAGTGAAAATTACCGTGTTGGATAATTATCAAGGCGAAGAATGCAAAATCATACTGCTATCTCTCGTGAGAAACAACAATGATAACAAAATTGGGTTTTTGGGGACGGAGAACAGAGTTTGTGTTGCGCTCTCAAGAGCAAGAGAAGGTAACATCGATTGATACATGATTTCTATTATTTGCGTCTGTTTTGTTGTTCAGAAAATAAGATAATAAGGCTCCGGGATTCATAAGTAGATTTAAGTTCATTTCAGGTATGAAACTGCACTTAGAACGCAATAACGTGGTGAACGTCACCAAGATGTTCAAACGAGACTCTCTCTTTGTTGCTATGGATTGCGTGCGGAAGCTCGCCACAGTAATTTTCATTAGCGATAAGTTAAAACTTGATCATGAGTGCTGTTACTTTCTTGTTTTAAATATTAATATAACATTTAATTTTAATATTTAGACAGTATTTTGCGTTTTGGATTTTGATTTTATTTCGAGAAGCGTCGGACTGTCATAAGACCATCAATCTAAAAAGGGCCGACAAAAAACCGTTGGGCCTTGTTAGCCGTTGCGGGCCTCATTACATAAAGTTAAAATAAAATTATTATGTACCTATTAAGTTTACGTTACGTGTACCTAACCTACATTGATACCTTGAAAAAGGATAATTGAAATGTCTTCAGTTGAATTATAATACAACCGATGTCCTTATTACCCATGCCGCATTATTATGCGGCATTATTATTAGGCCTAAAGTATTTTTGAAATGATACAATCTTGTCGAAAGTTATTGAATTGTTGCTTACTTTCAATATCTTACTTAAAAATCTCTAATTTTGCTTGATAGAAACAAAGTTTGAGATTGTTTTGTTACGCTGAAAAATTCAATAATTTTGTTTAAAATATTGAGTGTCATTGATCATATTCAGTTTTATAGGATTGAGTTATATATGAAGTTTGGTACCTGATACGTTTTATTCCTGATAAGGTGTATAGTTGCGACCAATGACCTAGTTACTATATGGGCCTTATTTGACATACGATGTTTTAATAAAACCCAAACTAAGGGATTTTTAATGTAACAAAACGTAGGAATAATTATATTATTAAAACATAAAAAATGTACTTGATGTTATTTGCGTGATAGTTTAGTTACTGCAAGACTTTATATCATACAAATAAGTTAGGTGGGCTTCATTTGCTGAGGCTCTTTTCTTGAAGACCTTACCACATCGAAGCTTTTCGTTCATCACAGCAATCTCTACTTAAGCCATTGCTAATTTAAAAAGTGTTTTGTCAAACTTTTTGCTTCATAGTTAGAGAGAAGAAATAACAAATGAATACAACAAGTATTCATATGGTATTTCTTAATATGACGAGGCCCGACCTCAGACCACCATTAGAAGACGTGTAGTTACGAGTTGAATAATTGTAGTAGATGCTTAAATATTTTATTATTGTTGATTATTATTACAGGCCTTTACATATTAGGCAATATTGATATGTTAAAGAAGAATTCAGAAATTTGGCGGAAAATCGGAAATACACTAGAAGAAAATGTGTCTGTAGGATCACAGTTGATATTAAAGTGTGAAATGCACCCGACGCAAATAACAACGGTAAGCAATACAAAAAATTTAAACCCTCTTTTGCTTATTTATAGTTTTTCATGTAGTTTATTAGTTGCATGGCCGTAACCATCTTCTTAGAAGAAAACCGTGCTCATTAGTTGAACGCATATGGGTCGATATACAAAAATATCGTACATACCAAACAAGTATGCAAGTAAGTAGTAAGTATCATAGGTACCTATATGATACTAAATTAAAACTAATTTTAACCGACTTGAAGAAAAGGAGAAGGTTCTCAATTCGACTGTATTTTTTGTGTGTACGTTACGCGATTACTCAGACATTTGTAAATCGATTTCGATGGTTCTTTGTTGGTTTTTTCTTGGAAAGGGTAGTGGTCTCATTCAAATTTCAAGAAAATATTCCACCTCTTAAGAGTGGCAAATTAGGGGATGAATCCGGTTTATTGGACTTCACCTATTTTCCGTTAACGGATTTCAATAAAACTTGGCAAATAGGTGTACCATAAACTCATGAGGTCGGTTTTATTTTAATTAAAAAGTCATAATTATTTTGAAAAAGGATTTCTTCCATAAACGAGATTTTACCTTTTGGTAGGTCAATGCTTTTTACGGTGTCGAGAGTAAAGAGTTTTTATTTTTCACAAGCACACACTGATTTGGAACTTTTAAAACAATTAAAGATCACATCAGCCGAAGACTTCAGTAACAAAGCGCCGGAAGGCGGATGTCTTCTGAAGTGCAACTTCAACTTGCCATGTGGGCACCGATGCCCCCTCGTCTGCCATGGCTACGATCGAGGCCACGTCAATACAAAGTGCAATTTGAAATGCGAAAGGTAACCTGCTAGTGTAGGCACAAAAACTCAAAATTGTAGGGCGCGTTCCCATTATGTCGTGACGACAGATAGACATGCAGTTTAAACTGTCATGGCTTGTATATTTAAATGAAGTTGTTCACACATCATACACATTACATCACACACGATTAACTGTCGTTCACGACTTTTTGGCGTTACGACGACCGATTGTCGTGACAATTGGAAGAGCTAAAACGACAGTCGTCCGATGATAAATAAAACGTGACGATAAAAATTTGACGACTGATAACCGCAGCTTCAAACGATTCTGTCGTGCAAACGACAAGGCGGCTGCCGTGAACTAATAAAGTCTCGCCACGCGATCTAGTGAGAACGATCTAGTCGTTCAATGACAAAATAGACGTCCATTACAGTCACGACCTTTGTACAACGATAAATAAAACGTTACGACATCATGAGAACGCGCCCTAATATCGTCAACGTTATTAAGCTCCATAAGCATTAGTTTTTTAAAGCGAGGTCCTCCAGGGTCGGGGTTCAAAGATTACGTCCATTATACTCAATTATGATACCGTCATTTAGCTATACCTATAATAGGATAGAATATCCCTTAATGTTGTGTATTAATTAATGATTATCTTCTCAGAGTGCTCTGCGATTTGGGGCACGTATGTCCGTTGATCTGTTCAACGACTTGCAAGCCTTGCGAGCGACTGGTGGAGAAGACATTACCCTGCGGCCATAGGATGCGCGTATATTGCCACCAGGACCCTAGTGACCCTGCCGTCCGATGCCTTACCACTGTCACCGTCACCCTGCCAAATTGTAAACACGAGGTCGGTTGTAATTACAACATCAGTAAAATATCTTCACATAATATACATTATAGACCGGTGCCTACTGAATCATACGGTTTACTTTCGTTAATAATCTCAAACAAAACTCAAAGCATCTGCCATTCTTTTTGTACGTGTAATCTGCGGGCCAACTGTTCGCAGAAGACAATTAACACCCTGCGCATTCAGTACAACAACGCATTTAGAGTGTTGCTGGGGTTGCCACGGTAGTGTAGCGCATCAGACATGTTCGCAGAAGCTCACATGGATGCCTTTCTTGCCATTCTTAGAAAGAGAGCTGGCTCGTTGCTAAGCCGTATCCGTGGCAGCTCAAAGGACATTCTTCGTGTCTTCATGTTGAGTGTGTGCGTTGAGTTTGTATGTTGAGTGTGTACGTTACTGATTACTGTGATTAGTAGGGTTGACTGCCCGATCATGCTTCATTGCATACGTCTACATTCGCTTTTAATTTGAGGACTATGTTCTTTATTTTTTGTTTTCCATGTTGGTAGATCCTGATGGGACTCCATACATAATTGTGATACTATTATAAGATTATGGACTATATTTGTCTAAAATAAATGAATTTTTATTTGATTTGAAAACAAAATCACGGTGTGGGACGATTATCCGTCTTCCTGATTTTCAAAATCAGACAATTGCCAATTTTAATGTTACAGACCAAGAAACCATGTTACTTGGAAATTGGGGCAGTGAAGTGTCCGGTGCCCTGCAAGCACCGAGTCAAGTGTGGCCACGGGTGTCGCTTCAAATGCCACGTCACCGATGATCCGGACCACGAGAAGGTAATTTTTTTTCACCTCACTAGCTAGGAAAGGCTTTCTTTCTCATTAGAAATCTCCTCGCAAAAGCACGCTAGAGTGGAAAAGGTTTTTGAAATTCGAATTTGGACTGTGGTGAACATAACTTTTCCTTTCGATGAAAGAAAAAAGAAGTGCCACGTTCAACTAGGCGGTTTGTCTTACATTACTTATATATGTAATATAAATCCGTTGCCATATTTTATTCTTATTATTATTGACATTAAATTGACAATGATAACTAATTGTGTTTATTAAATTATTTTAATTCGTCGAAGAACTGAAACAATTTCAATAATCACTCAATCACACAAAATAAAAGCACAAGCAATAATAAAAAAAAATGATGAGGTGTAAATTCAGAACACATCTGGAGATAAACTTTTTCTTTTAATTAAGAAAACTGATGTTCAATTGTTTTTTTTTTTTCATCTAACATTTTCCTCGCTTTAGTGCGATGAAAAGTTGTGTGTTTCGCTCGGCAGCAAAGTTGTTTTGCGTCTCGTGCCTTGAAACCCTTGCTACGCTCAGGAATCTATTTTTCTTATCTTCTATTAATCTTAGCTTCCTTACTTGCTCAGGTTTCAATACAAGCACTCGCGTCAAACAACAACTTTGCAACCTTGCATAAATAAGATACCACGTGACAAGACGAACAAAGTGGTAAGCGATATGCCTGTCCATTGCAGTTGCAATGCCACATTAAATCGCAAAGATCTGTGCCTCTACCATAAGATTACAGTGACAGCTATCGATAGCGACAGCGTAAAATGTTTGTATACAAAATGTTGTTTCTTCATGTGACCGCTAGAGGCGCTGTATAAATTGCCACACAAAATCGTGAAGTAATTTACGCAGTCGTCGCTAGCGACAACTCAGCGTTCGGCTTCGGGCTTCTAATAGACTCTAGTTTGTGATTTCTTATTTACAGCCTAACAATAAAACTAAAACCGATTAGAGGAATTGTAGATCTCGTTTTGCTGATCCCAGATAGTATATAAATATAGTTAGTAACTGAATTTCGCTAAAAATGTCGATTACGTTAGTTAGGATAAGGAGGGCTTATATGTGGATGTGGTTATGTGGCCTTAATACACCAAGGAAAGGTGGGATGTATTAAGTGCAACGTAAACTTAATAAAAATAAATTGCAATTTCCTCGAAATTAATTTTTCTACACTGTAGCTAAAATTCATTAAGAAGAAATAGAAGGAAGGAAAAGAAGGTAAAATTAAAAAAATGTTTCTGTCGGACATAAAGATTTCGTCGTTTGTAACCATCGAGTATATAACGAGAAATAGAGACGAAATAAGAGCCATATATTCCTGGTAACACATTAGCGATACAGCTCTTATAAATATCAACTCCCGTTTGCACTGAAATATAGACAGGCCAACTACTGCCCTGTGTGTACGTCTCCGTATATTCCAAAGAATATTCTGTATTTATTGTAATAAAGATCATATCTCTAACAATGCCGTGCTGTTCTATTCGGTGGTGTGGGAAAAACAGCAAAACATCTAATTACAAAACAAACGGAATCACATTGCATCGGTAATTAAATGTGTAATTTTGCAATTTTCGTCTATTATAGCAAAGCTCAAGTTAACTGGTCGATTTGAAGTGAAACAGTTGACGGGTGTCGTCAATGGGTGTCCATTGACGACACCCGGTTGGACGAATAATGGTCCGATGATTATTCAAATGAAACAAGTTCGGCTATTTGTTACTTACTTTTAAAAATAAAGTAATGTCTCTTTGAAGCAAAATGTCCTATACACAATATTTAAATTACTACCATTCCGAGTCACATAATGGTGGGACACCCTGTTAGTCCTTATTATCTAAACCTTTTTAATGGATATCATCTTCTATCTTTGGTAAATAATAATGGTCCCCTTTTAACACTTTACTCCTTCGATTATGATAAAGTTATTGTGGCGTACAAGAAACCAAAACCTTTCTTAAATTGGTCCTACCGGGAGTCAAACCGTTGCACCAGAGAGAGAGGTCGTCAGTAACGTCAATATGATAACGTTAATAATTCAGTTTTGTTTTTCATTTACAACTCATATAAGCCTAATCTGCCCTCGTAACGAAAAAACGCACAGCTATGCGTACTTTATACAGCAGTTGTACCTTCTTTCGTTCCGAGGGCAGTAATGGTGTCGGTGAAGAATATTTTACCTATTTAACTGAACACCTTTTGTTGTTTTTTTGCAGTATGTATGCATAAAACCTTGTGCTAAAGCGAAGAAAGAGTGCACTGCTAACTTAGACGGTGATCGCGGGGACCATCAGTGCCAGAGACAGTGCTACGAAGAATGCGACTACTGCACGTTTGAGGTGAGTTCAATTTAACATTTATGCATAAGAAACCTGTACACACCGACGAACATGGCTTAGTGACGTAACGTTCTAAAAGTCTCTTTATTAGATTACTTCATCGGCACAAGTTGGAAAAGTAATTTTTTACGCCATTTTTCGATTTCAGTCTCTAATGTCATAACATCGTTAGAGCATACCTTCTCAAAAATCTCCTACCGTCACGTCTCCTACTGTCACATTTCCTTTCGTCGGTAATGTGATTCAACAACAATAGAGAACAGAAACTGTGGTATGATTTTGTTTATGCATGAACAATACATTACCTAAATGCCTAACACAATTGCGCCTGAGCAAAAACAAAAGGCAATTTTTATATGTTAGCCACTAGATAGCGAAAACAAAAACTACGTATAGAATTTTCTTACCTAATATAAGAACACCGAGATATCGAAGGTGGAAATTGGAAATGTCGTAGGGGGACATTTTTACGTAAGGGAAAATGACCTTACGACAAAATGTCTCTTAGGACATTTCAAATTTCCGCCGTCAATATAAGAGTAATAATTTCGTCGACATTGCAGTTAGGAGCATTTTCCATTACGACAAAATATTTCTTACGACATTTCAAATTTTCACCATCGATACGTTTCTTTTGCGCCGGGAATGGATCAAATTTGGTTCTTCTCCTTTGAATTATAATATTAATGTGAAATGTACTATGTTTTTCTGTTCACTATTAATTACTAGTGAGATTCTTCTAGTAAGTAACTGTAACAGCATCACACTTGCTTGTCGAAATACCCACACGAGTCGTCTACAGGAACGGTGCGAGCGGAAGTGTCTTCACGGCGCATGCCGTCACCGCTGCGGCGAGCCGTGCAGCCGGCCGCCGTGCAACGTGCGATGCACCCACGTGCTCCGCTGCGGCCACGCCTGCCGCGGCCTCTGCGGGGAGCCCTGTCCGGACGTCTGCCAGAATTGCCGGCCCGACCAGTTCCCCAAGGACATCCTCGGCGACGACCTCGAAGAAGACGACAGGCAAGCCCGTAACTTAAAGCCTCAAAAGGCAAAACTCGACCGATTTCCATTAATATTTCGAGAGTAGGCAGTAGGTAGATAGGTACTTACGTTACGTCTGATTTATCACATTCGCAAAAGCCGGGTTTTCACTATATGAGTACACTCGTATAGTGAAAAGTACGCTACTCGTAGCGTGTAAACACGTGATCCGAGCGGACTCGATCACGCTCGGACGCGGTTCTATTCTTACGAGTATACTCGGATCATTTTATGAAACTAAAATGCCGCCAACTAAGAAAAAGTGGAATGAGCGTGACTCTATGAGATTTTAAACGTGTTTTTATCTTTCTCTTCCACTTCTCGAAAAAAAATATTTGAAGCACTCAGTTGGTTACATCTTAAAATCCATTTTCTAATATAAATTTTCCTCTTGCTTCGAATTTTTCCCTTCCATGATTTTGTACTTCAGCCATGAACATATCTGCTACAACCTTGTAGCATGATTCTCATAGCTCATACACACCGCAGCAGTACATCAGTCGTCATCATCTTGATTGTGCAAGGAGATAATGCTACTTGGACGCGGATGAACTCGTAAGGTGTAAACCAAAATCCGAGTGAAGGACTCCTATACGATCTAACTCGTACAAGCGCATTTGGTCCGAGAGCACTCATAAAGTGAAAACCCGACTTAAATGAGCTGGATCCTGGGAACGTATTGTTATTGTACTGGTATTGTTGTAGTGTATTATAGTGTTTTTAGATGTATCGCTCCACAGGGTTTTTTTAAGTAAAAGTGGGGGCGCCAGGCTTAAGGAAACAAAATAAATAAATACATTTTAAACCTAAAATTAGGACCAGCGTTCTTAAGCCGAAGGTCAAGTATATTTTGTCCGTCCAACGTTGACATCAAAATCACATTTTACAGACTCATTCAACTACAAGATTGTCCACACGTTTTCGAAGTTGAGTTCCTGGACGGTTTAATCAGAACAAATTACGACGAGGTAAAAATACCCGCATGTCCATTGTGTCGAAAACCAATTATAAATACGTACCGATACAAAGACCGAATCAACACAATGTTTAAAGAAGTCATCGACCCGATAAAACAACGAGTGTATGGCACCGAAGAAAAAATAAATGAGGAAAAGAAAGCGCTGGTTTTGAAACTTGATGAATTCCAAATTACCCATGCAAAGGCTTTAGCAGGTTAGTCTATGATCTTAGGGGGTTGTTTTTATTAACCATGATGAAACTTCAACATTCTTTTTGACTATCAAAATGTCCATTTCCTATACAAACCTACATCAATTATTTCAAGATTTGTATATAATTCAAAAAATGTGTCGATAGGAATTAAAAATAATCCTGTAACTGTAACCCTGGACATGATATATAATATTATTAAGTAAATATATACATAGATATTATGTTTTGAATTTCAGAACAACCATCTATAAAGAATGCACTACAAACTCTTCAGAAAGAAGTAAAAAATAAGAAGAAAGTATCACTAACAAATCTGCAAATGCTATGTCTTTATCTTAACATACTAGACATGATTGGAGAAAAATACCAAAAATACAAAGAAGCTAGATTAACGGTACTTGAAGAAGAACTGTACGATCTTGTCAAAAGTGTATGCCAAATTTTATCCGAAAATGTACATAAAATAAGCCAACAGCTTCAAAAAGACATGTTGAATGAGATAAAAAGGATGAATTCCACAATTCAATTATCGAAGATTCTCAGCCATGCTTTGTATTTGGCGTCAAAAGATAATCCTAACGTCAAAAAGGCGGCCAATGAAGCGAAATCGACAGTCTTAATTTGGAGCGTGTACAAAGAAGAAGAAAGCTTAAAAGTTCTAAAACAGCTGCAAGATGCTGTTAAAGTTTCTGGTATCGTTAGTAAAGAAGAGCGCGCTATGATAGTCCAAGCTATAGGTTTGAAACAGGGTCATTGGTTCAAATGTAAGAATGGCCATTTTTATTGCATAGGAGAGTGTGGTGGAGCTATGCAGCGAGGCATTTGCCCGGAATGCGGCGCTGCAATAGGGGGTGTTAGCCATACACTGGACCCAGGGAACAGTCTTGCAAGCGAGATGGATGGTTCACAGTTCCCGGCTTGGTCCGATCAGTATAATAACATGGCCAATTTTAATTTTGATTTTTAATCAGTAAATAAATAATGGCAATAATCTTATATAAAATTCAAACTGGGGGTCTGAAAACATAACCGCCGAGGCAAAAAAATAACGGACGATTAAAAACTTTTTTTATATTGATAAAATCACTGGACCTTATGCTATTGTTTTATTTCTTGTCCTTTTGTAATCTGTCTAAAAACATCGTGTATGCGTTCCGAGCATATTGTTCGTTCGATTTTTTTCTAAGAATGTATCTTCTTGTTCTTTAAATAACGTAAGCCACACTAAACTTGGTGAATGAAGCTTCAATCAGTCGGGGGGATTACATCGTCTCGCCAAGTGACTCTGTCCCACATACCCAACATGAATACGTGAATAATAACATCAGGGGCCTTACCATGAACTCTAATTACGATTCAGGGGGTCTTCTCTCGATCTCCGTCCGACATCCGTTCGAAACAATTACTGTCAAATAAATAATATTCGACAAAATTAAATGACAAGTATCAAGTAAAAAACTTCATTCTCGTGTTGCGAAATGGCGTCTTTTCATTTGGTCAAGTATTGCTTATTTGGCAGTAATTGTTTCGGATGAAGATCGAGAGTAGACCCCCAGTTTAGGACCCAAAATGAATCGTTGTGAGACAGCGCTACATGAAGTGCATATCACCATCCCGCTTTTTTGTCGTTACGAACTGATACTGATCTGTAATAAGAGTTCATGGTAAGACCACAGTTCATTGCATTTAATTCGTTTATGCGCTTTTCACAGCAATTAGTTCTAAAGTACAAAAGATGAATTAGGTTAAAACAGATTTTAAGTGTCGCCATTAATTCATTTTTAACTCGTTGTCGTTGACACATAAAAGCCATCTTGTCAAATCGTGATCGTTCAGTATTGCGTTGTACGGAACGGCTTTTGTCGCCTGAAAGTACTATACAGGATTCGAGATTTTATAAATTTAGACTTAAGGGTCCTATTGGTCTATTGCATCCTTGCAATAGTTCTATCGAAACTAAATTTCTGTATCACTGTGTACCTGTATTACAAAAAAAACCTAGAAATTAATTCAGCGTGTGCAAAATGCTTAAGTGCAACGTATTGTTTCAGAATAATCCCACGCGCCCATGTCACGCCTTATCTAAATTCTTTAAAGCTCCTCAATATGAGTGAGCGACAAAAATTATATACTGCGACTCTGTTATTCGGAACCATAAAAAACCAAGTACCAACTCATCTGTACAAAAACCTGGAATGGTGTTCAAATAGACAATCAGAACTTTTAGGCGATTATCACACTACACCGCGCCGCACTGAATCGCGCGCGGTGGCGGTGCCGCAGATCTGCGTCAATTAAAGTACTCGCTTCGCAGTTGATAGCCATAGTGATTGTATATGTAGCCGAGATCCATCTTTGACAAGAATGGTTAATATTATAGAACACATTCAGGACGCTGCAGTTATATGTATATTGGTTTTTGTTTACTCAAATAAAAAGACCCCGAAGATATTAGATACATCCCTTTTTACGAACCAGATCGATAAATGGATAATTTCAACTTCATTACAAAAATTGAAGATAATATGAAGATGACTTTGGTCGATTTTCAATAGCAAACAAATTTATCGACATCGGGCGCGGTAAGACAGCACGCGCCGCGGAGAAGCGTTGTCAGTGTGTTCGACGGCGCGTGTTTTCCATACAAACTGAGGTACTTCAGTACAACGTTAAAAAACGCAGGTCCGCGCTCCGTCGCGGGGCGCGCTGCAGTGTGATAATCTCCTTAGAGCATGCGTCCCACCGCTCATTATTTCTACCCATAAAACGGCTGCTTTCTGTGTCTGTTTCAAATACAACACATCCAAAATATGGAATGACATACCACCGCCTATAAGAAATCTTAAATCAATTCACTCTTAAATTCGCACTTAAAAAAAATTCTACAGAATATTTTGACGCGTGTCTCACTGATATAAAATATAAATATCAAAAGTTCACAAATCAATCTCCTTTACACTACCCGCCTACAAAATATTTTCCCTGCCATAAATACTTTGTTTCATAGTTATATAAAAACCAGACATACACTCCACTCACTTAAGCCCTGCGCAGACGGCACACTTTTTGTGCGATCGAGTCTGCGGCGCACAAAAAGTCTGCATGGCGCGCAAAAAGTCGGTCGCGGATTTTTCACAGACTCAACGCACACGACGCACATCTTCGCTCATTTTGTCGGCAGAGCTGTAGGGACGTAGACGCTATGGAAATCGTGCAGAGATCGCGAAGTGAAGAAGAGATCAAACATGTCCAAACAGGAGCGGAATAAACATTACAGCACACTTCTTCCCACATTTTTCTTTTTAAATGTCTATCATGATATTCTGCCTTAGAAGTATCATAAATTGCTGGTCTGTTTTGTATTTCTTGAATTAACATAGTTACATCGACCTCTGGCGCCATGATAATAGATCGCATGCATTACGTCCACCCCCAGCAAATGCAGATTGCCGACTAAAGTGTGCGCCGTCTGCGTTAGCGCGCGTTGAAGCAAACGTTCAATGTTTTTCACACACTTTTTGTGCGGAGCGGCGCGGTGCGGTCTGCCCGAATTACACGGATTTTTTGTGCGCCGGACTTTTTGCGCGTCGTGTGCGTTACTGCATATAATTGCATAGGTTCTATTTTCACAGACTAAAAAGTGCGTCACGGATAGTCTGTCGTCTGCGCAGGGCCTTATTACAAACCTACACACACAAAAACTCCCCTCTAATGCCGCGTTCTCACATTCGTCCGATAGGCGATGCGAATAGCGATGCGATGCACGATACGCATGTGTAAACGGTCACTTCGCTATTATAAAGTTAGGCACGATAGTGTCGCGAAGTTATGCCGCGTTTTCACATTACTGCGATAGGCGATGCGAATAGCGATGCGATGCACGATATAAGGTGGGTTACTTTTCTCTGAAATAGAAGTAAACTTGAAAAAAAATCCATGACATGATTACTTACTACATATTTTTGAACACAACACAAAGTAGGTACTTGGTTTTGGAATATCTAATATTATATATTTATTATGTACATTATTATGTATATTATATATTTCTAATATTATTATATATATTACATATATCCGAAAATTAACAAACGTTTACATTTCATTGCACGCGAGACGTACTTATATACAATGCTATAAAAATATTTACATTATCTTCAGTGTCTATAGTGCGTTCGCAGCCATACACTGATCACAAGAAATTTTTCATGGCGATATACGAACCATATAGGTCATATACATCTTCCACCCCCATACCCGAAATTATAGATTGTTTTTTTCTTACGAACATACGCACGAAAATTTGCCATGAACTTTTTCGCTTTGAATTCATTGACTGGTAATTTTATAATATTAATACGGTTCCATGCATCGTTAACTTTGTGTTTAATTTTGTGGTTTGGATGTTTTGGGTTTCAAATGAGTTCTTCGGTTGCATACATATGGTTCTAGAAAATACAAGACCCACGCACTACTCCAATCCATTTTGTACCTACGTATTATCGCTAGCAGCTTATTTATATATAAAGTACGCTGTGGTTTATCTGAAGCGGGACGAATAAAGAAATGGCAGGCTTTTGAAGTTACAACTACAGTCTTTACAAACACTATTAATTTTATTTTCAGTATATTATGAAGAAAAAACGAAAAAAGAAATAGCGATGAAGAAAGTTAGAACTATATTCCTTAACAGAAACCAAATTACAAAAGATTTTGTCCTGAAAATTCCACTAATTACGAATTCAAAGTTTTTGTTCAAAGTGATAGAAGATAATGTGATCTATGTGAAAATGAAAACATAAATACCTATTGACTACCGCCGCTTAAAAGACTATGTTAAAAACCGAATAAGTGAACTAAGTTATTTAAGAGAAATAGAAAACAATCTATTAGAACTACAATGGAATATTTTTACTGAGCATCCGATAATTAAACGAAGACATGACTCAAAGGACTTGTATCCAAGCCAAAATTATTAATAAAAAAAAAAAGGACAGTGTATTTTTGTAAATGTCAATCCCGAACATGATGTGTGATGCGCGTTTTAATATCGCTTTGTGATTTTTGCTGTGGTTAACACACACACACTGAACACTAAAGATGCAGAGTCAGGATTCTGAAGACGAAAAACTGGAAACCGGCCCCGCCGAAAATGCATGGGCTATGAAGATACCGAAATTTACACCAGAAGATAACCCTCATGGTTTACACGAAGAGAGCAAATTCGCTACTCTATTCCCAAAATATCGCGAACAATACCTCAAGGAATGCTGGCCCCTCGTGCAAAAAGTACTTAAAGAACATTATATCGTCGCCGAATTGGATTTGATAGAAGGAAGTCTGATTGTCAAAACTACAAGAAAAACATGGGATCCATATATTATCATCAAAGCCAGAGACATGATGAAGTTACTTTCCAGAAGCGTCCCATTCGAACAAGCTGTTAGAGTCCTGGAAGATGAAATAGGCTGTGATATAATAAAAATAAATTCATTTGTGAGTAAAAAAGAAACATTTTTAAAAAGACGACAGCGCTTGATAGGCCCTAATGGCGTTACATTAAAATCCATTGAATTGCTCACTGAATGTTACGTGTTGGTTCAAGGTAACACTGTCTCTGCTGTGGGCCCATATAAGGGCTTAGTGCAAGTGAGACGTATTGTTGAAGACACAATGAAAAATATACATCCCATGTACAACATAAAGAGTTTGATGATTAAAAGAGAATTAATGAAAGATCCCAAGCTGAAAAATGAAAGTTGGGATAGATTTTTGCCTAAGTTTAAAAGTAAGAATGTTCCAAGGAAACAACCTAAAAAGAAAGTCAAGCAGAAGTCCTATACACCATTCCCGCCACCACAACCTGAGAGTAAAATTGACAGAGAATTGGCGACAGGTGAGTATTTCCTCAAAGATGAGCAAAAGAGAGCAAAACATCGCCATGAGAAGGAAGAAAAACAGGCCAACACTAAGCGTGCTAAGAATGTACTGAGACAGAAAGATTATCTGCCTCCAGAAGAAAAAGTGGCTGAAGCCCCATCAATTTCAGATGCAAGTGTAGATTTAGGCCAATTTAAAGCTAAGATTAAAAAATTTTCTAAACAACATAAAGGGTTGAAGAAGAGTAAGGAATAATATTTTCAATTTCTGACTTTTATAATAAATACATAAAACATTCAATTGTTGCTTTCACTTCTTTATTTTTGACAATTTTAAATCAGGCACTGATGAGTTTTTGCTCATAAATTTCTTTCTGTTCATAAAAGGTTGCAATGCTTTAGGAATGGATATTTTTCCTTTAGGGTCTTGATGTGTTTCTAAAAGTGCTATTAACATTCTGGGGACCGCGCATGCTGTACCGTTGAGTGTGTGGACATACTTAGTAGCATTATTATGAGTGTACTTGATGTGAAGCCTCCTGGACTGGTAGTCTGTGCAGTTACTGCAGCTAGAAATCTCTCCAAAGTTTCTCCGACCTGGCATCCATGCTTCAATGTCGTATTTTCTACATAAGAACAAAATACTTTTTTAATTTATATTTTGCTGTCCTTTATAAATAATATAGTAAATGTTTTGGTTACCCAAAGTAACCAAAACACTTGTGTTATGGAAGTCGGAAAAAATTACAGTATCACAACCTCCCACATCTAAGTAATATAAAAAAGTTTTTCTACATTGACCCAGCTGGGAATTGAGCCCGGGACCTGGCGACACCATGAAAACTGGTGTGTAAGCCACTAAACAACTGCGGTCATCATTTGTCATGAATGTCCTTTCTTTCTACTTATGACTTGACTTCTTCTGAACAAATAAATACTACAACATAATTAAACCTATAATTGCAATTAAATTTATTGTATCAAAATTACCTGTAAGCAGGAGCACCAAGTTCATGAGGTGGCATATCCAAGACACGCATATGAATGCCTAGTGGTGTGAATAATTCCTCTTCCGTTTCGCGTAAGTATTCAAGCATCTCCTCTGATTGATCAGGAGTGGTCACAGCAAACATTTCCACTTTTGTGAATTGGTGGACTCTGTATGTAAAATAATAATAATTTAATAAGTAAAATATGCATTTCCTTAACAATAAAATAATGTTACCTACTTATGGGTAAGAAAACAGAACAGGAATGTGATAAAAACAAATACTTAAAAGTAAAATAATATTATTCAAAAAAATGTACCATGTACCTATAAATACCTCTCTCCTCCAATACACTTGATGTTTCTGCTCGGTAGCATCTACTGACTGCGGTAAGCTTGAGTGGTAAAAGTGATTTGGCATGTAAGGTGTTCATAAGAAGCCCTGCTAATGACATTTCAGCTGTGCCTGATAGGTACAAGTCCGGTCCGTGGTGAAGTGGGTCTAAGGAATAAATCTAAAAAAAAATGATCAAAACTCGACAAAAATTTGAAATTAGTTTTTTTTATTATTATGGTGTTTTCTTACTTATCAAGTTACCAAAAAGCATCAAGGTGCTTATTACGGATACCAAAATTATCAAATTTTGTCTAACTTTTCTAAATATGCATTCAAAAATATCATCTTTCCATAATACATTCAAACTTATACAATATCCTAGCAACTCAGAGTTTTGTATATGGGGCTAATCAGATTAGTCATTTTGAAGTACTGAGCAAGTTTACAGTCCGTCTGTAGTGAGCTTTATAATGATGTTCTTGTTCAAGCATAATGGGTACAGGGCATTCTCGTGACGTCACAGATATAATAATATATATTTTTTAAACATGTACTGGGTTAAAATTTTATTATGATATTAAACAAGGTAGATAATAATCTTAAGTTGTTTATACAATGTGTTCTAAATTGTTAAGCAACAAATAATAAAGTAGCTGATTAATTATTAAGGAAACAGAATGAATTCAGTTGATGATTGTACATACTTGTGATAATTTTATGAAATTCAATAATAAAACTCCAGATAATACATTCTTTGATGGACTGTACATATTTTGTATACAATATTTTTGGGAACTTTGCAAATGTAATTCTTAACTTGTTATGTTTTTCTTACACATGTCACACATTTCTTAACACCTAATGGTAGAACCTCACACCCAGAGCCTTTAGGGGCACATCCCATTCGAGAGCACCAATTTGTAAAGTACTTTCATTATCTGATTGTTTAAGATCATCATTATATTAAACATCCTAAGACTAGGCAGTGTAATTAAAAACTTTAGGCCATAGCCCTATGTTGCTTGAGACTTCACACATTTTCCAAGGGTTATGTAAAGTTCTTCAACATGCAGGTTCTATCACAATATTCTTCTTCACTGTTCATTAACAGTTGAATATTGCTGTAATTTGGAGCCTTCTTTTCAATTGAAGATTCTCAGTGGATGAACATTAGGTGCTCTTATATGCATCTACTGTATGTGTTATGATAAGCAACTAACAATTTGTCCATCCAAAACAAAACATCACCAAGCATTTCATTCAAACATACCCTACCACTCAAATAATCACTGTTGAATGCTTTGCCAAGCCTAGTAAAGGCTAGCTTTGAAAGAAAAAAGTTTTTTATAAATATTGTTTCATGTGTTCTGAGGCACATACCTGTGTACGGTCTCTATTCACAGTCATTCCGCAGCTTTCTAAAATACTGCTGGGCAGTATATCAGGTACTGACACTAACTCGAAACCTTTATTCAGCAATGCTGATACACTATATTTTATTAAAGCTTCTTCCAATTCTGCCAGTTCACCTAGAAAATAGTAGCTCTTATGTCCACAAGTCTGTCCTAGTTTATCTGTACGCATAAGATTCAAGCGACGAGTTATCTCACTAAATTCTAGTGGTGTGTGGGAACCATAATCCCTCTTGTCGTTTAATTCATGTACTAACCGTGGTTCCTCCTCATAATCTCTCACAGAAGGGTGTGTTTTATTAGGTAAACTGCTAAGTTCTTTATAGAATCTCCTTTTCATAATGTCGTATTTTGAATCCGTCACCGAAGTTTGTTTATAAATATTATACATTTCTAAGACCTTTTGCAAGTCACCAATACCTTTACGTCTGGCTATGTTTTGTTTAATTTCTTCCGAATTCTGTTCATTACAGTAATAATCTACATCAATATCTGGAAACGATACCGCAGAATATAACCTCACACGCTTGAATTTAATAATATTACGAGCTCTCGCCGCCACGTTAGAAAGCATTTCGTAAACGTATTTTATAAACGTTGTGTAGATAACAAGTAATTATTAATGTAATAATATAATTTGCATTAAAAACATAAAAAAACTTTCGTCTTTTTTTTTCCTTTCCTTGCGGAAAGGCAAGCAGGGTGCGCAAAGGTCTTTAAACCATGCAGCCTATAGTTTCGTTATCGCCATGTCAAATCAATTTTTGAAAATCTATTTCGTGACCATGGATGCAAGTATTTTAGTAGTTTTAATTGAAGTAGAGAGACAGAGAGAGACATACATAATGTTTGTTTCAATTATAAAATGGAAGTATACAGGTGACTTTTTATCAGAAGCCACTCAGGCCAATTTTTTCTGCCTATCAAGTATCATTCAAAGATTTCATTTTTATTTTATTTAAAAAAAATTGGTTGGTTATTTTCATAATAAAATTATTTGTTAAATAATAATCGATAATGTTTGGTTACCTAGTCAATACAACACGTTAGTCAGGCGAATGAATGGAAATACACCACCCCGCTTTACTCGGGGAGAGAATCCCGCACGGTGAATTGCATTCGTTTCCAGTCGCTAGTGCAAGTTCGTCTCGAACAGACTTCACAATCGCGCGTCCTCTCTCTGTACGTCGGTCTCAAGCACAGAACAGAAAGTACAGCAGAAGTGGTTAGCGATGAGACGAGTTGTATTTGTTTCAACTGGAGTTACTCGAGTTGACTTGACTGCTAACTCGAGTCAACTCGATTCGGTGTTTGACAGAGCAACCGCGAGTCGCGAGTAAAGTCGAACCGACGATTCACCGAGTTGGACACGATCGGTCGGCCGACCGCGGCAAGAGCGTCACCGAACCGACCGAGCTTGCTCGAGTTCACAAAGTATAGCTCGACTTGACTCCTTGTGGGAGTAATTCAAGTTAAATAACTCTACTCGCCCATCGCTCGCGACTCGAGCGTGCTCTGGAGGTCACCGACGCGCTGTATGAATGAAGTATTCGGGTCGGCGGCGGGCGGAGCGGGTCAACCGAATTAGCTCGAGTTCATGAAAAAGTAACTCCAGTTGACTCGTTATAGGAGTAACTCGAGTTAACCGAGTTAAATAACTCGACTCGCCCATCGCTAGAAGTGGTTAGTTAGCCTCACACGCGTGCCAACCATAGGTCTCGTATTAGGGTCGTATTCCAGAATTCTACTCAATGCTCAAGTCAGGATCTGCGTATGATTTTCAGCAGTGGAAATCGTACCGTTAACATCGACTCTCTGTACCCTACCACGCAAATACGATTTAAGAAGGTCGAGATCACGTCCCGCCACACCATAATGCCGAAGTTTCCTGGCCAGTGTATCATTTCACTGGCTACATTTCTTAACCCTTTTTTTCCTTTTCGAGGAAACTCTAAATTCTTGTCTTAGAAAAGCAGTGATAATCAAAACACCCTCGCGCACTGTACTCATGGTAGAAACGGCAAAAACTCGAAATACGATTTTTGCTTTCAAGTTCTGTTTATACGGAGACGTTCAATATTGAAAGGCGAGGTGATTATCGCTCACGTGGAAGGGCGATAATCGCGTATGTTTAGACAAGGAAAGTTTTTTATATTCTTTCGATAATCGTATCTTCGAGACGAGAAACTCTCTCCATCTAAATGGGCCTTAAGATTATTGCACTGCGAAATTGTTGTTGTAATAATGACCACCTCTCTAACGAACACAGACAGACAATTGTTTTTTTTTACCTATAGTGGCTGAAACTCTAACCGCGAAAAGCCAAGAAACAAGAAAAAAAAGTATGAACGTTTTCCCGCCTTTTGCTGTGTGACGTGCGATAGGTTAGTTTTATTTTGTTTGATTTATCTGAATATTACATGAAATTGTCCATTATGATATAAAGGCAAGTGATATTATATATATTAAAATGCCTGCTTCGGTGAAAAAGGGTGTAATTTTGAGTAGTAATTGGTGCAAAGAATCTACATCTGAGGACATTGCGTGTTTGTCAGAAAAATCTTCCATTTCTGGCAAATTTATACCAAAATCACCAGCTACAAGGTAAACGTTGTTAATTTGTACATTATTAAATTAAGTTATATGATAGAAATTTGGAAACATGTTAATAACAATTGATTAATATTACTTGTATACTCTTACCTGAATATTAAGATAATTCAATATTGACTATTTTTGGAAATAAATCTATTTTTTTTAATTTAAATTGTTTCTTCAGGCAAACTAACATTTTGGGTTCATTACAAGTCACATGGTCACAGTCATGTGTGAATCAGTCAGCTATAACTATGTAACCTTTAAAGCGCATAAACATTATTGATTTGTTTGAAAAAACAATTTAGTTAAAAAAATTTTTTTCAATTCTAATGTATTTATTTGCATATTTGACGATCTGACTGCTTGCACACCGGTCTCGAGTTCGATCCCCAGCTGGGTCAGTGTAGAAAACTTTTTTGTAATGCCATTTTGCAATATGCGATCATTCCATGTCAAGTAGAAAAACTAACTTTTCTATATTGTCTCGGGTCTGGATGTTCTGATTTTCATAATACAAACGCTTTAACTTCTTTTGGATCAGAGCAATATATGTGATGTATCTAATATTTATTTAATTTATTTATATTGTATAACAGATTCTATTACTCCTTAATTGCAGAGCTACCCGTCGCAGCCTTCGAAATGCAGACAGTAATCAGTTAAAAATTAGCACCTTGTTTACATTAAAAAGGAGTAGAAGTTCAGAAGGAAATGAAGAACTTAAAACTGTTGGTAACTGCTAGAGTAATGTATTTATAAATACACATGATGGCAGATATTGCAGATCACTATGAGATCCCCAAAATAATAGAGTGTTTTCAAAAGTCTGACCGGTTATTTTCCTTTTTTATTTTAGATTAGAGATGCCACAAATATTTGGCTACTATTTAGTATTCGGCCTATTCGGCCACTTTGTTAATATTTGGTATTGAATGAAATGAATGAATGAATGAATGAATGAATGAATGAATGAAATATTCTTTATTGCACATAAAAATTACAATTAAAATCCAGTACAATAGCTTAAGTATAACAGTAGTGGTAATTCAATGTGCAACAGGCGGCCTTATTGCTATGTAGCAATTTCTTCCAATATTTAATTTTCTTCCAATTTCTTCTAATAAGTATTTGGTATTCGGCGGAATACTACGACTATTCGGTCGAATACTGAATATCAAAGAATGGAAAAAAGTAGATATTGTTTAAAATTGCTTTCATACTTAAAATATTTATTACTTATTACTTAATATTTATTACTTATTTAATACTTAAAAAAGTGGCAGGCAATTTTTTCAGCATTGGTTGGTAACCAATGATTGCCCTTTTCCTTATTAACAATTCCTGCTTCTGAAAATAGCCCCTCACTATAAATACTACTGCCAGAAGATAGATAAATCTTAGCTTTTTTTTTTTTTTTAGTTTATTCATAACAAAAAGAAAAATATTAACATTATTCTTTTCACTAGGTAAGAAACCTTATGGTTTAACGGCCTAGTGAAGAGTTGACAAGCTAGGTACTTAAAAAATTACACTGTATATCTATGTTACGTGCCATTCAAAAGTGACGCCCCACCTAGATAGTGTCTCTTAAGAATGGCTTTACACTTCTTGACATTATCCTCCAGGTCGACCAGTACAGTGGCTGGAAGGTCGTTCAACACTTTCGGCAGCATGAAATCTGGCTTACGCATTCCGTAAACGTTGTTGTACCCCGGCAATAAATACTTCGGCAAATATGATATGTCGCGCAGATTTCCCAAACGCGTTCTCTCACGCAAACTATGCTTATAATTATTGTATTCTTGACAAACGAATAGCATTTGTGTCTTATTAAAAACATTTATAACTTGACAATGCTGAAACAATTTGTTGTAATCATCTTTAAATTTTATTTTTATATTATAAGGAACAATTAATTTAAGCAGAGATAACTGCAGATTATAAATGTGATCTTAATAAGTCGGATAAGTGCGTCCATAACTACACAAACCATAATCTATAATAGAATCAGCAAGAGACACATACAGCATCCTAAGCAATTTATAAGGAAGTTTGTATTTCAATATGGACATTTTGGCAATAAGAGCTCTTAATTTTTTGCATACATGATCCACTTGCAGTCTCCAGTTCATGTTTTTATCTATAATCAATCCCAAGTAAGTATGCTGATGAACCACCTCTAAGGCACTGCAGGTGCTCACACAATTTACGAAACTCCCGTCATGTAAGCATACGTGTGTGTGTGTTATGATAGTCGGTATTGACAGAGATTTGACATATGGAGAATGTATATGCAACATTTTCGTTTTGTCCGAATTAATAACGAGCCCTACATCGTGAGCCCACTTGCATAGTTGGTCATAATTATGCTGTAGTATTTTTTGCGCCTCGATAATGCATTTGTGTGAAGAAATCAAGCAAGTGTCGTCTGCAAATTGGTAAAACGAGACATCTGTAAAAATGTTGCACATATCATTGACAAAAATCAAGTATTCGGTCGGACCCAAAATTGAGCCTTGTGCCGTGCCTTCCTCAGTCAAAATTTCCTCACTTAACACCCCTGCAATGTTAACACATGTACGTCGGTTGCTGTGATAGTTTTTAAACCAGTTTAAAAGTGGACCTTGTATACCATTTTGCTCTAATTTAGAATAAAGCGTTTTAAAATTTAAAGTTTCGAATGCCTTACTAAAATCAATAAAGACTACAAGAACATGCTGCCGATCATTCAAGTATTCATTGATTTCATTAGTAAATCGAGATAATAATTGAGACGTACTTCGGTTACTTTGGAATCCATATTGCTTATCGCTGATAATATTATGCACGTTTAAAAACTTATTTATTCCGTTGCCAATATACCTCTCGACTATTTTATCGATAGAAGGTAATATTGTTATAGGCCTATAATTGTTTAAATCCCTATGGGAACCTCTCTTGTAAATGGGCCTTATTAATCCAACCTTCAAATCATCGGGATACAACGACGTCTCAAGACAACTATTAATTAAGTGTGTTAATAACGGGGTAATGTCAGAAATTACATACTTCAAATGAGCAGTCTGTTATTATCAATATTTTTTTTTATTATCAATATTATCAATTCCGGGACTTTTATTAACATTCAAATGTTTTACAATAGAGAAGACATTATAGCAACTGGCTTTTTTCAGACGTATGGTAAGATCCGGTTTTCGTATACATATAAGAATGCTCGTCCATTAAAAGCCTATCACACTGTAAACATATCTTTTTTACATTATTTTTAAATTCTTTTGCAAAATTATTTACTAATATCTTGGGTGAAATCGGAAAATATTTTAATATAATATTATCTATTTATTTTACTACTTTACCACATAAAGTGTTTATAATTTCCCAAACTTTTTTTGGTTACGGAAATTTTTACATAATTCATTTTTAATATAGTTATTTTTGGAGCTATTTATAAAGCTGTTCGTTTTATTCCTATATTTATTATACAATAATCGGTTCGCACTATTACTTTCGTCTCTTTTCCAAATACTATGTAACTCGTCTCTTTTTTGTATCATATATAATATTCTCTCGTTTAACCATTTACAATTTTGTCTTTTACCTAACTTAATGTGTGTAGTGTACTTATTATTATTATAAATCTGCTCAAATTTATTTGTAATAAAATCCATAATATCGTTAGGATTCGAATATTTGAAACCTTCATTCCAGTTTACCAAATTTTAATTCAGTACAAACTTTTTTATGATCAAGTCTGAGAATAGCCTTAGATTGCTCAAGGTGACGCGTACAGTTATTTGTTATTATGGCACAACCGGTTATATAATGATCAGCCAACGAATTGATTATCACAGCTGTTTTAACTGTACAGTTTAAGCTACGTACAAAAATATGGTCGATACATGATCTTGTAATTAGGTTTGATCTATTTTCGACCCTCGTATATTGGCTTATACCACATTCTAGACCAACCTCACACAGTGAATTTAGGTATAATGATTTAGCTGCTGAATTCATTTTTAAATCTATGTTAATATCTCCTATTAAAACATAGTTCAACTTAGTTGACTGCTGACTTATTACCTGAGATAATTCCAGGGCGAAGTTGGTCCGATCAGTATCGGGGGGTCTATACACAGCACACAACACAATTTTTTGGTTAAACTTATTTTCAATAAGGCCTACAATACACTCAAAGTTTTTTGTGCGCACTGAGTGTCTTGTAAATCGAACACTTTTATGTATGTAAACAATCACACCACCGCCACTTCTATTTTTTCTCAACTCCGTATACATTTCATAGTCAGGCAGCTCGAAAAAGGATTTACATTGATATTTAATATTTGTCTCCGAAATTACTATGACGTCAATAAGTCGTTTACTGCTTAGTACAATAAACTCCAGTTGGTCAAAGTTTTTTAACATTGATCTTATGTTAACGTGGAATATTAGCATTGCACTATTCTGTGGTGGAATATGTCTGGCAAAGTTTTCCCAGTTGTTGTATTTGTCCTCTTGAATGTCATTTAGTGTATTAGCCATTTATGAACAAAAATGTATACAAACGACATTTTACTAACAAGGAATTGTTCCTTATTCATTCGTTTTTGAATTCCGCAGACAGTCTAGAAATATCTTTTTCGGATCTCACTATGTATATCTTCTCTTTTTCCTCTTTACGTACCATTATGTTGCCTCGTTTGCACCAAACAAACTTGCAAAGCTCAGTGAATTTTAATTCCTGTTTAGTTTTCCAGAGCAGATAAGACGTGAATGGTGTTAAGGGTTCACGGAGGTAGATCTTGTTACTCTCCGCCATACCCATATATCCATGCCTCTGATGTCTTTGATCTTTGCGGCGTCAATCCATTGGTCACGGAACCCCTCTCGTAATGTTACGGTAATAGTAGACAGATTGTTTTTAACGCCTGTCCCGACTTTGGGTTTCCTTTTGCGATATGCATTTATAATTGAGTCGGGTTGAAGTTGTAGTTTATTGCAGATGGCATCAACAATTGACTTTGTGTTCTCTTTCTCGCTTTCTGTCACCCCACATACCTCAACAACATTAGACAGTTGTGATTGCTCAAGTTGATTGATTTTTTGTTCTAAGACCTCATTTTTGAGATCTAAGTTTTTACATTTATTTTGTAAATCATTACAATGGTGTTCAATCCGTTTATTTGAATTCTCGTACTCTTTAATTTTCTGTTCATAATCATCGACCTTGTCCGATAAGAATTGGAGGGTAGTTTACAATTCGTTACGAATAATCTCTCGAACCTCTCGACGAATGTCCGACAATATCTGTTGAGTGATTTTGTTTTGTGTAGAAGAGGGTATTTCTGTGGTTGTATTCTCCTCATCCTCTGAATCTGGCATGATGCAGGTCCGTTTCGGCGGTGAACTCCCGGCACAGGAACGGCATTTCCAATCGACACAATCCGTGGTATACAATGCATTCAACTGTTCCGCAGATATTGACGCACAGACACAGTGCAACCATTTTGAGCATTTATTACACTGAATCCCAGGGTTCTTTTTATTAATCAGTTTAGAACACTTATTGCACTTGACCATCGCTTCGTATTATTGTGTACGCGTCGTCACAACTACGCAAGCAGAGAAATACAAAAACACGTTCGTTCGATTTTGCACCGTGCGAGCTACTCTAATTTATTAATTATATTTAATATAATTTTATAAAAATTATATTTAAGCTAATTTTCGACATGTTTGGATACTGCTTTGTGTTTGCTGATCACCACTTGTAAGGATCTATCGTCCGAAGGATCTGCCGTCCGATCTAGACAAACAGTTTTCAAATAAAAACCAATCTCATGTGCAACAGAACTTTTCTCCACATCCTCATAATTTTGCATATTATTGTATTGTAGTGACTTCTTCAAAACAGGTCCAGACACTGTCATGTATTGATTTTAACTGCCTCCGTGGCCGAACGGTTACCATGCCGGGCTGCCACGCAGAGGTCTCAGGTTCGATTCCGGGGTGGGGAGAAATATTTGTATGGCCTACATTTATTTCTTTCGTGAGTTTGGGTGTAATTTGTGGTTGTCTATGTGTGTGTCCATGGCACCCGCGACACAGGGTTTCCCTGGTGTGGGGCTATGTTGGGTGTGTGCGTTATTATTATTATTATCATTTTTCAACAAAAACACCCCACCCCCGTTACCTCCGCACGCAGCGCAATGAGACAGGTCGTAACAAGTCGCGTGTGAAATGCACAGATCTTACGCCGAACATTCGACAGCCGAATATTCGGCGCTTCGGCCGACAGCGTGAACGTGAGAGCGAACTATTCGTGGCATCTCTATTTTAGATCCAGTTTGAAAATAGAAAAAAATTGTGGAATGTCATTGCGTTAAGTAGTATGAAGTTGATTTTGCTTTCTTATAAATTTTGTAGACTTGATAATTCAAATCTACAAAATTAAATATTTTTTTTATTTATACAAGTTTGATTGAATCAATCATTGTTAAACAATCAATTTTTAAATCACCTGTTTCTGCCATATTACAAATCGAAAAAATTTCATTTTTTATTACGTTGATGCTTTTTTAATTGCTACTCTACATCTAATTCATATTTATTTAAATATAAACATTACTATTTTATATTTTCACTTTTGTTTTCCTCCTTGAAATCTGCAATCAGTCAACCAGACTTTAATCAGATGATGTGTTCCAGAAGGTTAAGGCCATTGCCTTATCTTCCCTTAATTGCACAGCACATCCACTCTTTTCAGTCTTCTAATTGTGTTTGGCAGCAACAGTATTTGGGGCAATGGGTTAGAATGAACTCCTAGTCGATGCCTGTAGTGAACTGTACAGAGCGCAGCGTTTAGCTTCTTCGAGAAAAGATTTTCACATTTGTTTTTTTTTTTGTTTATACTTGTTAACATAATGGAAAAGTTATAAAGTATTGAGTACTTATATTAACTTACATACAATTAGAAAAGGTATCGACAAGCATATGTACAACCTTACGAGCAGTAGGTATAGCGACAAAATTCTACTTCCCTGGGCATGTACTATCCCACATCTTTCGATCACAAAGCAGCATTGCTACACTTCTGTGTGCGATATTGAAAGGTTGAATGAAGGCCAGTGTCATCCCACACAATGTTATGATCCTATGTTGTACGTCTGTCAATGCGTTTGTGATAGTTTAGGATATGTATCGATATGTTAACCGTATCTATATATTGTTATATTATAACAAATAATATGTACATATTTAAAATACTAAGGATCCTTAACAGGTTATCTCTTCTTCGAACTGCCATTTTCTATCGAAAATCTCGAAGATACCTTATCTGCTGCAGGCAGCTCTATTCGCATAAAGGTCTCTTCGCATTCTGTTCGTCTTAAGAACTTTGTATTAATAAATGTCGTAACGTTACTATGCTTTCCATCCTTCATCCTTTTTGTAATAGAATTAGGTAAACTTGTTATCTTTTACTTAAGTTAATGATAATTCAATTGATGCAGGAGATGAATGCTAGTGATCACCAGCTCCACAATTATCCACATATATTCGGAAAAAGAACCAAAACTTTTTTCAAACATCCGCATCTACAGATTTTATCGATGAAAAATTCGCATCCGCGTCCGCATCTTCAGATGTGGACATGACCCACATCTGTGGCATGCTTGATCCTTAGCACAGCTGTAACCACTCTCCATTCCACCTGGATTATCATTTATTGGTTTGCCAGTTTATATGGCATACATAAAATTACTTCCCAAACTAGGCAAAAAGTTTAATAGGTGCATTGCGTATTCATCAACTGAAAATAATGCATACTTTAGCTAGTGTCATATATTTTATCTTATTTTCTAAATAGCAATTGTCAAAACAGAAATTAAATTTTTGATTGTTGGGTTGTTTTGTGTTAACATTAATGTCCATATTGAATGTGTATTGTGGTTTCAAAACTATCTAATAGATAATATTATGCAATAAATCCTGAATTCCTCAAAGAATCCCTTTATTTCTAATTACAGAAAAAGCAAAAGGTAGGTAATGCAACTGAAAGTATTGTTGATGAAAATAATCAAGTTCTTAAAGCAAGTGAACATGATGATGATTGTAAAGAAGAAAATGGGTCTAACAGTCATAAAAATGAACATAATGACATACATAGTAATTTCAAAGATGACAGTGCAAAAAAAATGGAAGAGACATTTAAAGAATCTGTGGACTTGATAGTGACAGAAGTTTACCAGAAGACGATCAATTTACTTATTGAAAGTAACACTGTTGGCAATTATCATAATGAAAAACATGACATGGACAGTGAAACCTCTGAAGAGGGTAACAATAGTACAAACACCAGCCCAAAAACAGATGAAAATCATGGAAACAGTACATCAGATAATTTAAGTCAGCATCAATTAAACCAGAATGAAAATGAGAACAATATACTTAAAAAAACAGAATCAGAAGATTTCAATTCCAATAATGTTAAAGCAAACGTTCCTGACAATGAACAATGTGATATTTGTGGGCAATTTGTGTATAATTCAGACATAATATATTACCAAGGACACCCACAAGATGCTGTAGAAGAATTCATTGCATTGACTAATGAGAAATTAGTTTTATCTGCGGGTAATAGTTTAATTTGTTGTCATTTATGTCATGTATATTTGTTTCGGGCTTTTCGGGCCCTTTAAAGGTCCCATGGTCACGGTTGACCGAAACGTTGGTTTGTTTGAAAAAACAAATATACGCAATTTCAATCCGGAAAAATAGTTTCATTTCTTATTAAAGATAAATTATTGATTTCATCTGTGTTGTCGGTATGATTTGCAGGTGACGAAGGTGACATTATGGAAAGACCTCAAACAAACATAACTAGCTTTTCAATTTTTGACCAACATGGTCACTTATGCCCTATAGATGGAGGTCTTATCGAGAACGATGTTCGCATCTACATGTCAGGGTATTTGAAATCAATTTGTGCAGATTCTCCTGAGATTGATGAGGAGTCTATACCTGTTAAAGATGTTGGTCCTATCATTGAGTGGTGAGTTTACATGACACATGCAGGACTTTTAAGTTTTTATAAACTTCATGGAAATTTTAATTTTCATTTGTGCTTATCAGGTTTATCCACGGTTTCGATGGCGGCGACAAAAACTGCATTACCCTTTCAACTGAATTTGGAGAATATAATCTAATGAAACCTAGTGTAGGGTACGCACCTCTTATGAACAATTTGTATGAGAAAATATGGTTAAGTAAAACTGTTGTAGAATATTTAGAAGAGTATCACTACCTGCAACCTACATATGAAGACTTGCTAGAAGTTGTTAGAGAAGGAACTATTCCAGACCTTGATGATAAGAAGATGAGTGAGGAAATGCTCCATAAACATGCACAATTTGTTTGTGACCAAGTAGTCAGCTTAGAAGCTGATGAAGATGACGATCCACTTATAACATTACCATGTATGCGGGAACTTATTAAACTAATGGGAATCAGATTTGGGAAACGTAGAGCACGCGCTAAGATTAACTATAAGAAAGTCGATAAAAAAGCTTGGACCAAAGCCACCACTACATCGTTAGTGAGAAAAACTTTTGAAAGTTTCTTCACTCATCAGTTGGATAAAACAAATCACGAGCTAGTATTAAGAAGAAAACGCTGTGGCATATGTGAAGCATGCCAATTACCAGACTGCGGCGAATGCAAAGCTTGTCGAGCTATGGCTAAATTCGGTGGACATGGGCGCACGAAAAAGGCTTGTGTTCGCCGATTCTGTCCCAACATGGCTGTGCAGCAGGCTAATGATTCAGAACCTGAAGATGACGATGAATATCAACAAGTAGTAGAAAAGAAAGTTCATGAAAAAGTGGATGATTCAGTCCCAGTAAAATTGATTGGAACCAACAGAAATATACAATGGCTTGGTGAGCCTATAAAAGCAGATGCCACAAAAGTTTACTACGGGAAAGTGAAACTTGATGGTACGGAATTCCAAAATGGAGATTATGTAATGGTAGAAACTTCGCAAGCGAACATTCCCGCGTTGGTGGCACGAATTGTATATATGTGGCAAGATACAGTCAATGCAAAAATGGAATATTTCCATGGAGAAGTATTTATAAGAGCCATAGATACTGTGTTAGGCGAAGTAGGAGACCCAAGAGAAGTATTTTTAGGAGATAAATGTTGTCACGCTGCTCCACTATCATCTATATTGCGCAAAGCGTATGTTGAAAAAAGAATAGTGCCCAAAGACTGGTTTAAACTTGGTGGCAAAGAAGTTAGTGGCGAAATTTTTGAAGACGACGGTAAAACCTACTTCTATAACAAATACTACGAAAGGTTTACTGCGCGCTTTGAAGATCTTCCCGAAGATCCCTTTTGTCCCAATGAGTTACGAAAACATAGATTCTGTCCTTCGTGCGAACGTAAAACGAAACGCGATGCTCAAAATATTCCAAAAGTATTAGGCAAGCTTGAGGTCAATTCTGATATTGTTACAGAAGCTAATAGAACAGAGTGGACTGTGGTGAAATGGCAAAATCATGAGTACAAGAAAGGACAAGGAGTTTTCCTGAAACCAGGAACATTCAAACTGAAGAATAGTCTGCTTAAGAACAACAATAACAGTACTAAAATAAAATTAGAAAAGGTGGATGAAAACATATATCCTGAATATTATCGTAAAAGCGACAATAACTTACGAGGTTCAAATATTGACACCGAAGAACCATTTTGTGTGGGATACATTGCTGCAGTTACTGCAAAGGGCGAAGGGCAACTTATAGCTCCCCAGGATATTTATTTAAAAGTGAATGTTTTGTATAGACCGGAAAACACTACAAGCAAATACCCTCAACATGAGGATCTCAATATTCTGTACTGGACTGATGAAATCAGAGAAGTACCTTTTTCTGCCGTCGTTGGAACTACACAGATCATTTACGAAAAGAATATCCCAGACCAAAATTCCATTCACGAGTGGCTAGAAAAAGATCCTACCAGGTTTTACTTTAGAATGGCTTTTGATAAAAGATCTGGTGAATTTGTTGATGTGCCACATCATGCCACTTGCATAGGACGTATAGATAAAGGTAAAGACAAAGGTAAAGGTAAGGGAAAATCCAGCAAGCCTCAGGAGGTCAATAACCCAAAAATTGAAGAGAAAAAAATAAAGCCACTGAGAACGTTAGACGTATTTGCTGGATGTGGTGGTTTGTCTGATGGACTACATCAAGCTGGTATAGCCGAATGTCGATGGGCCATTGAAAATTTGGAAGCTGCAGCTCACGCCTACTCTATAAATAATAAGGGTTGCACAGTTTTTAACGAAGACTGCAATGCATTATTGAGAGATGCTATGTCTGGAGCTACTCACAGCGCCGGTGGTTTACGCATACCCATGCAAGGAGAAGTTGAACTCCTTTGTGGTGGCCCACCTTGTCAAGGATTTTCTGGTATGAATAGGTTCAATTCCAGAGAATACTCAAATTTTAAAAATTCCTTAGTGGCATCATATCTTTCCTTTTGTGATTATTACCGCCCAAAGTATTTCATACTCGAGAATGTTCGCAACTTTGTTGCTTTCAAGAAGGGAATGGTTCTCAAGTTGACACTTAGAACGTTGTTGGATATGGGGTACCAGTGTACGTTCGGCATCTTGCAAGCGGGTAACTATGGGGTGCCACAAACGCGTAGGAGACTTATAATTTTAGCAGCAGCTCCTGGATACAAACTGCCATTCTATCCGGAGCCAACTAATGTGTTCAGCAGACGGGCATGCTCTTTGACCACTACAATAGACGGTAAAAGGTTCATGTCAAACATTCAATGGGACGAATCGGCACCTAGACGAACCTGTACTATACACGACGCCATGAGTGATCTGCCGGAAATAAGCAACGGGGCTAACAAGATCGAAATAGAGTACGGCTCCATGCCCGAAAGCCACTTCCAGCGAATGGTCAGAAGTAAAGACGAGACGGCTAAATTGCGAGATCACATTTGCAAAAACATGGCACCATTAATACAAGCTAGAATCTCAAGAATCCCGGCCACCGCCGGATCTGACTGGAGAGATTTGCCCAACATATCCGTTACTCTATCGGATGGAACCAAGTGTAAGGTGTGTAAGACAAGTCATTAGTGATGTAGCATTTATTGCGTATTAGATAACCAACAAGGCCATTTGTTATAGGTGTTGCAGTACCGTTACGACGACAAGAAGAACGGGCGGTCGTCAACCGGCGCATTGCGCGGCGTTTGCGCATGCGCAGCGGGCGCCCCGTGTCAATCGGCTGACAAGCAGGAGAACACGCTCATTCCTTGGTGCCTGCCACACACCGGTAACAGGCACAACAACTGGGCCGGCTTATATGGTAATTTAGTTTGCTTTCGGTAGTCACATTTGAACCTTCGAAGTCCCTAGAAGAAAGATAGCCGACCAATCAATGGACTGTGTTTGATTCCGGATACGGTGTGCCAGGGCGCGTGTCGTGGACGGGCTACTTCAGCACGACGGTGACGGATCCCGAGCCGATGGGCAAACAGGGCCGCGTGCTGCATCCGGCGCAGCACCGCGTCGTGTCGGTGCGCGAATGCGCGCGCTCGCAGGGCTTCAGAGACACCTACCTCTTCGCCGGCTCTGTGCAGGACAAGCACCGCCAGGTAACAAAAGTTTACAATATTTTTCTACTTCCACTTTGTTTGCGCGCGGTCTTTAAACAGAGCCAGGCATCTCTCTTGTGGTTGGGAGTAAAGAGTCCTGCGGGCCGATTCAGAACCTTACGATAACTCAGTTGTCGACCTATTTCTTTTCATTTTTATTCACAACACCCGAATCGAACGTCAAACTGTCGTATTCGAAATCGAACCGAAATAACGTCGCACTCGTACGATTACTCGAACTTCTCGACCGGCAAAGGCTACAAACATTATTCAGAACACAGTTATCGAATGAAAGTTACCGAACGTCCTATTTTTTTTATAAATGTTCACCATCTGGTTTTTAAAATTTGGTAAGTGAACTTGGAATGGCAATGTTCCAAAAACTTTTGTAAAATTTTATAGGAATACTTCATTGACTTACAATTATATGGACGTCGGGTCCGCGCTAAAAAGTGTCCGAACTTATAGGGCGTTAAAATCGTATACAGAGCGTCATTCACGCTTTAGTCTTCGTTTGTTCGACTGACAGCGAAGCAAGCAAAATTAGACAGTACTGCGATGACATTACAATTTAAATTCAACGTTTTAGCTTTTTCATTTTCCTTTACATGTCACTACGTTTAAATAGGTTGAATTGGGACATTTTTTTCGTGGTTTTTGTATTAGACCCGTCGTCCATTTATTTGTAACTCAATGGAATACTTCATCAATTTTATGGCGATGATTCATTTTCAATATTATTGATTAGTTCTACCATTTTAGAACTCAAAAGTAATTTGTCGGTGTTAAATAAGCGAATTTTTGGATCTTCCCAAAAATGAGCTTATTTAATAATAAATTATAAATAATTACTATTTGACCAAGGGATTAACACTTGTAAAAATAGTTTTTTTTTATAACATCAAGTGACGGGACGAACAAGTCGTGCGCGTGATGGTAAGCGACACGCCTGTCCATAACAGTTGCAGTGCCACTTAGAGCTTTAAGTTGCAAAGATCTGAGGGGCAGTACCACTGCGCCCGTCAACCTGACACGTAAGTTGACAAGTCCCATGTGCCTGTAATTTCACCAGCACCCTTACCCTTCAAAACCGGAACACAGTAACGCTGACATTACGGCTTGGCGGTAGACATAGGGAAGGCGGCAGTACTCTTTCACAAGGAGCTCTACTGCTACTAAGGGTACGGAGAACTATATTACACTAGTAAAGTTACTTAATACGAAATAGCAAATGCAGTCACAACTGTATTTCCTGTTTAGTAATTACGGGCCCTGATTTTAATTCAAATCATAGTATTCAAAAAATAGTAGCCCATCCGCAATACTGTACGCCTCGACTCGGAAAAGACGCAGTTCCCGATCGGGAGATGCAATCAAAATCAAGCTGACGGTGTGTTTAACAATATGACCACACCAAAGACTCGGAATCGATTTTGTTTTTTCTCCGCGCCATTGAAATGTGTTATTATGTGTTGACTCAACAAAATTGTTTTAACTTTTTACAATGAGACTAAACGGTTGAGCATATAAATGTATTTTTAAATTACATGCGTCTTCTGTTTTCAGATCGGGAATGCTGTACCACCACCACTAGGAGCAGCATTGGGCCGTGAAATAAAGAAAGCACTTGTAGACAGCTTAGTTTCTTGATATATTATATTCTTACTATTACATAATGGGCGTCAAAAATCATGTCCGTACACTATAATATTTTTACTATTCGTACCTTTAAGATAATGAAATCGTCAACTGTACGCATGAGTTTAATTATTACAACCCTGATCATATCCTTTAAATACATACTTGTTCTTAATATTAAGGATCTTTGAAAGGTTCTGGAACATTCTATTTGCTCGGAAGGTTCATTTTCAAAATCTATATACCTATAAAAGTATTACAATTCACTGGTGGAGGGGCGCACAGCAAAAACTATGTAATTAGTTCTTGAAACATGAAAACTTGAGGGTATGTTACTTTTATCTAGTAGGTAGGCGCTAGGCGTACTGAAAACGGATTTTTCGAAATTCGAGAGAGAGTATCGTATTTCATGAACATACGAAGACTAAACTTAGTATAACTATTTTATGCAAATGGTAAAAGACTAACTTTTTTATGGGGGTATTAAAATTTGTTTGGGAACTTTTTCAAAACAACCCCTAAAAACCCTTTTTCTATGGAAAATCTTATTCCAAACATTTTTGTAAACTTGAAAGTCCTTCAATGCAAACAACAAAGTCTCAAAATGACATTTTTATAAAACAACCTCTAACAGTGGGTGAATCAAAGTGTAGTTTGGTTTTTAACCCCTGCTCTGATTTGCGTCATACTTGGTTTAGACAGCATACCACAAAATAATAAAAGTACCTACTAGGTTACTTAGGTGGGTACGTATTTATAAGATTAATAATAGTAATAATATTAATACCTATATACGTATATGTACGTACCTGCCTGCGCGACGACCGTGCGGCGGCGTGATGTGAACGCGATGAAATTCGTGTCGAATAAACGCGCCTTAACTGGGCTCTTATGCTCTGGACATACAGAAGTGGCCGCGGAAGCGTTTCGGGCGCGGGAACTTTTGTAATTTACGAGTTTATATGAACCCTGCCGTGCAAACATATATGCCGCGCGGTTCAGTGTGGCAGGGTTCATATAAACTCGTACATTACAAAAATTCCCGCGGACCCGGAACGCTTCCGCGGCCGCCTCTATGTTTTTTTTTTTTTTTTTTTTTTTATCCCTGACAGGCAAATTACTCCACTCCACCTGATGTTAAGTGGAAAGTGGTATCCTAACGCGAAGGAACCTAGTGCAGCGATGGAATCCTCACTGCATTAGCCGCCTCCACCCTGCCTGCCTACAATATGCCTCTTCACGCCTCGTTTGAAGGACCCCATATCATAAGAGGGAGGGAAGACATGTGCCGGAAGGGAGTTCCATTTGTCAACCGTGCGGCAGAGAAAGGAGCCACCGAACCTTTTAGTACGCGATGGAATGCGGCAGGTAGTGAAACGGTGACTACGAAGGCCAGCACGCGTGCTTCTGAGCAGGAACGGGGAAGGGGGGATGAGGTTGAACAGCTCCTCAGAGCACTCACCATGGTACATGCGGTAAAAGGCGCTAAGCGATGCATCACATCTCTACGCAGTTGCAGAGGTTCAAGGCGTGATGAGACCTCTTCGTCGCCTATAATTCTAGTAGCACGACGCTGTAATTTATCCAAGGCATCGAGTAGGTACTTGGCGGAGCCGTCCCACAAGTGCGAACAATACTCAACGCAAGACCGGACCTGTGTTTTGTACAGCAGGCATAACTGGTCCGGCGTGAAAAAACGTCGCACCTTGTTCAGGACTCCGAGTTTCCGTGAGGCTGTTTTGATCACAGATTCGATGTAGCTCCTTGGATTCAAATCACAGCAGATTTCCATACCGAGCAAGGTGAAACTGCTCTGAGGTGAAAGTGCTGTGCTCATCAGAGAAGGCATGGGAAGGAACGGCGACAATTTTGTTGTTAACGCGCAAACCTGTGTTTTCTTGGCGTTGAACTCAACAAGATTACTGGATCCCCATGCAGATATGAGGCAGATAACTGCCTCCGTGGCCGAACGGTTACCATGCCGGACTGCCACGCAGAGGTCCCAGGTTCGATTCCCGGGCCGGGAGAAATGTTTGTATGGCCTACATTTATTTCTCTCGTGAGTTTGGGTGTAATTTGTGGTTGTCTATGTGTGTGTCCATAGCACCCGCGACACAGGGTTTCCCTAGTGCGGGGCTATGTTGAGTGTGTGCGTTATTTATTTATTATTTATTTATTTATTATATGTGGCCTGAGCATTAGGGTGGTAACGCGGCGACTTTGCTGATATAACATACAGCCTACCTATTTAAATAGTAATAAAGTAAATGCTTAATTTTTTCAAATAAAATAACCGATCGATGGAAAGAACTTAATAATTATACTTATTGGTCAACACAAGAAATAAGTTGTACATTTTAGCGAATAATTTAGGTATTTACATTTTTTTGGGTACAATAGTCTGCGCGGACAAAGTTGCGGGTAAAAGCTATAATTTATATTTTTCATAATTATGTTTTATATAACGCATGTAAAAATTTTACGCAACCGAGACGTATGTTCGGTTGAAAACAATGAGTAAAAACATTTGCTCTGTCTGTCATTATAAATCAGTCAACAAACTGATCGGGTAAGTAGGTATTTCCTGGTATCCAATGGGCAAGCGAATGTGGGCTTTCTCGTGTAAAAACGCCATAGAATTAATCGCTCTCACATTTCCACTGATCCACGTCATTAGAATCTAAATGTTTATTTTGTAAGAAAATCTATTATTTCTGCTCGCTTTTTTTTTATTTGAAAAATGTCAATTACGTTAATAAAACTGAAACTAAATAAGATATAAAAAACCGCTTGTAGGAGGTTGTAGATCTCGTTTCGCCGATTCCAGATGTTAACAACTCAATTTCCCTAAAAATGTCGATTACGTTAGGTATGATAGGAAGTAGGAAATGTCAATATTGAATTTTCAAAATCATTGACAGAAACATTTTAGTTCTAGGCCCTTAATGTAATATAGGTGAAAAGTGAAACGTTTGTTTTAGAGTATATAATTTATTTATTCATCGAAACATCTTTTGTTTTTCGTTTAAGGTTTTTCACTAATAAATTAAGTTCTACGTCGTCTCTCGATTTTTTGGGCTCTTTTTCATTCTCGTTTGGTGGTGTATCGGCAGGTCGTCTTTTTAACTTCTCTTGTATAAGTTTTTCCATATTTTTAGTTTTTTTGAAGTTTGAATCAGTGGGATCTATATTGTATAAATGAGATGTATACAGAGCAGAGAACCGTTGGTCGTTAACATTAATCTCAAATTCAGGCAAAGCTTGCTGTTGCGCGGCCATCTTCTCTTTGAGTTTCTTTTTTCTTTTGGATTTCTTAGAGATGTTTTCGGCTTCTTGGATTTTCTTTAAACTGAAGTGTGATTTGCCATCTTCCTCATCTAGTAACAATTCTAGTTCAGCGTTTCTTTTTTGTTCTTCTTCATGTGCAGACTCAATGAGCTCTTTAGTGTACTTCTTTTTGTTGTTACATTTAGCTTTCTTGAATTCGGAATTATTGAACTCCTCTGCGAAGTATGGATCGTTCATGTCAATATCAGAAGGTACATCGTCAGATGATCCCTCGGAATTTGAGTCATCGTTTTCAGCTTCACTTTTTTGCTTCTGTAATTTCTTTTGTTTTTGCTTTTCTTTCCTTTTCTTAAGAATTTTCTCAAATGGAGTTAGGTCTTTGTCATCTGAAAAGATAATAAATGTCAAGGTACTTCTCAAACACGAAAAAACTCCAATTGTATATTTGTTCATGCATAGTCTGTGTCATTGATTAAATAATTTTTTACATGACAGACAGACAATATTATAATTTCGCAAACGTGTTGTTACACGATCAATGCCATCACCAACTGAAATGTCAATTACAGTCTTACCTTCATTCATCTTTTTCTTAACAAGTTCCTCAGCCTTGTCTTTTATACCCAAACCCCATGTGATCTCCATCTCCATGTCTTTATTATTCTTTTTATCCTCTTTTTTCTCAATGTCTTCAAGCAGCATTATATACTTCTTTATTGGATCATCTTCTTCGTTTACTTTGTTTTCTTCTTCAGAATTTTCATCTGGGATATTGAAATAGTCATTGTACTTGATAATAATTGTGTCATTTATTATTAAATAATATTCATATACTCAGAATACTTAAATAATTAGTCAGTGAACAGAAACCCGAGAAAGACCGATTTTATACGATTAGGCTTTTAAAAGAGGAGCAACAAACTCAGTACGTTAAAAGTTAAAATCATAAGCTGTACTGTAAAATTTTAACCTTGAAATTAAACATTAAGAATTCTTTCTTTTGTATTTCACAATCCATTATACCTGACTGGTACGTAATTTGACAACTTCTGTTTTACCTTCACTACTAGAAGCCAGATAGTCGTTCAAATCCAAGTCGTCAATCTTGCCGTCGAGTGCGCTGCGAATGGCCTCGGCGCGATTAGGGTTTGTTGCGTCCCATGTCAATTCTACCTTTGCCTGCTGCAACGCTGTAGTCGTGAATAACCGTGGTTTGTATTTTGTCAAATCTGGTAGATTCGTGCAAACTTCGCGCGGCTCCTGTAAATTGTTTAATCGATTATTATAAATTGATGGGTCCATTAATCAGTAAAAATCTAAAGAATGATATCTATCTCTTACGATGCTAACATATTGTCTTTGCTAATCATGTAACAACTGCTATGCCGGCAACATTAACAACTAGCCAGCATAGAAAGAGGAAACATATGGAATACAGTGATATTTAACCACATGATTTAATAGAATTTAATTGACTTAAAGTTAAGCGTATCGTACACTTTCGTCCTATATTTACAACATGCGTTAGTAATAAATATGTTAGCATTGTACGATAGACGCAGTATGAACGGAACTGAAGATGTCCCGATAGTTTGATCGTCGCTCCTGCGACGTCCAAATGGATAATAATAGGTAAGTACCTGATCAAAAGAAACGTCATCTGGTATAAATCTCATATCAATTTTTGTGGCACTGCTCTCGTACTCCATACTATCGCATTCGCTGTACAACTTATCAGCAGTGGTGACCGAGTCACACTCCACTACTGCGTAATAATACTTCAGTCGGTTCAGCTGATAACGTCTCAGCTTTTCCATGTGATAAGTAGAGCCTGTTTAGAATATGATATAATTTAAACAACAGAAGAAGCATTACAGCGCTAATAAAAAAAATGTACCTAATCAGTTTCAAAATATTTTCGAATACATAAAATGAATAAGTAATAAAAATAATATAGATTATTTATATACAGGTGTTTCATTTCCAAATTAAATTTAAATTATTAAGTAAATTGTGCTCTCTCGTTTTTTTGACTAGTACAAAAATCAGTCAAAATTCTACATTCCAAAACACATAATTAATTACCTTCTTCGTTTTCTTCATTGTCAGATGGCTCATCGACTTTCTCCTCAGTTAATTCAATGGGTCCACGAATTTCCTCTTCCTGCATTCTTTTTAAACCATACTCAGAAGGATAGATCTAAAATATTTATGTCCAGTTATTGTACTGGTCAGCCTGTGTTTAAAGTGAAATGTCTAATCTTGTACATTCTAAAACCATTCTATGTGTTAATTTCTGAAGTTCAGGAATGGGTTTCAAACATATATAGAATTAGACATTTCACGCTAAGCATCAGGCTGACTTTCAAGTAAGGAGAGTATATGGGTCGATCAACTTTTAAATGTCGTTCATGAAATTTTTAATTTTGATTGAAGATTTCAATACACATTATTATTTTATATGTTAGATGATTGATTCTTTTATAGGAATCAGCGATTAGCAGTGCAAATATCGTCAGAAAAATATATTTTGACATAAAAATCCAAAGGAATTCAATAGCATCTGTCCCCTGTACCACTAGTTGAATAAATTTTTTAATCATGTAAATTTTTTAATCTTGTAAACTTTATTTAAAATTAAAACCAACACTTCAGGTTTATGAAATATGTAATAGATTATAGCTTTTTATATTTGTTGGAGCGGTATGCTATATAACTTCAGAAATATCACCATTAACAGTGTCTCTTGGACAACGATTGTCCTACTAGTATTTATGTGGTCTGTGGATTGTCCTATCACTCAGTGAAATTATTCACTAAAATAGTAAATCGAATATTATTTGTTATAAAGAAACAACAAACAAATTTTTTTCATACTGTGTTATTTATCTCTTAAATCTTACTGAAAATTGTTGTGCTTTATAAAAAAAAAGATAATGTTATTGTTAAACATGGGGACAGTTGGGTTGTCCAATAGACATGTTTGGTTGTCCAAAGGAAATATTAAAACTTCTAATGCCTACATTTCGTGTTATTCCAAATGAATATTGACAAGGAACAAAAAGAAAAATTTATGAAAATGGTCAATCAGTTACATAACATAATATCAATTCTTGCCATGAAGAAGCAATTTGAGACAAACCAAAGCACGAGTTGCATAAAATAATAATAGAAGTTTTTAAGTGCTTAAGAAGCAATCAACTTTATCTATAATATTACAATAAAAGTAACTCCGAAGCATCGAGTATACCTCCGAAGATAATCAACATCCTTAAAACAATATTAGTCTTTTAATGGACTACACAACTTATAACTAAGTAAAGTACGCTTTGTTATTTTAATAAACAGTTTCGTTAAAACTATCACTATGGAAAACATTGTCTGCAATGGTCCATCAGTTACATAATATAACATCAAGTCTTGCAATGAAGAAGCAATTAGACATGAAACAATAAACTTGTCAACAAAATAATAACGGAAGTTTTTTAACAGAAAATAAGCAACTAAGAAACAATGAAATCAACGCTATCAATAATATTAAAAATAACGTCGAAGATAATCAACATTTTTTTTATTCAAGTGCGCATTTGACCTTCTCACCTGATGAAAAGTGACGATGAGGTCGACGATGGAGCATGCACACCAAAATAATGCCTATTCACTCTCGCCTTGAAAAGGTCCAAGTTATAACGTTCAGGGAACAAGTCTGCAGGCAGTGAATTCTACTCCATAGCCGTTCGCCAAATCGCCATATAAATGAGGAAGCGTAACACTTCGTGCGAATGTTTCGAATATCCACAACATAAGGGTGGAATCCAAGTCTACGTCTTGTTCCCCGATGATGGAAAGGGGAAGGCGGACTTAAATAAAATAAAATACCGATAAGCAGGCAACTTTAAGGCGGTGTTGAAGGCTTTGCAACTTCTACTAATTCCGAGTCACCTATAAGCCTCTTGCCACGCTTGTCAATTGAATCCAATGTGACCTGTTGGTATATAGCAGAGCCATCCCAAAGGTGGCAGCAGTACTCCATACGACCGGACTTGTGCTTGATACAGCTAATGCAACTGTCCCGGTGTGAAGTAACGCCTCACCCTGGAAAGGATGCCAAGCTTCCTGGCTGCATTATAGATTGCCGAAACTGCCGAAACTCAGATTGGACGACAGCTCCATTCCAAGTAGCTGGAGACGGTCGGCCATCGGTATGGATATAGCACGAAAAGTCGGAGTCAGCTCAAAGGGACTCCGTTTTGTGGAGAATAGACACGCCTGCATTTTGGTAGCATTAAATTTGACAAGATTGGCATCGCCCCAATCGGAGGCAGCCCTGAATGTCAAATCCAAATGGCTAACTATAAACTCTCGCCAAGATTGGATTTCCTCTTTACGGACCCTTGCATTGGTCAAGTACATTTCTACAACTGTACTATCATCAGCATACGTACAAGTACCTGGAATTAACATATCATTGATATGCAGCACAAAGAGTGTTGCATACAGTACGGAACCTTGAGGGCATCTATCGCCCGATGTTCGGAAGAGTAGCCTACTAAGAACACTCAAATGGAAAGTTCGCTCAAGAAATCCGAGATCCAATTGCAAAGGTTAGTGGGAAGCCCATAACATGGAAACTTATTTCAAAGACTGAGGTAAGGTAGGTGGTAGGTTCCCTGCGGCATCCAGACGCAAACTCTCTGCAAAGAGTGAGCCAAAGAGATTCGCCTTCTCTTCTGCAGTATGGGCCAGCGTGCCATCCGGTCTCAGCAGAGGTGGCAAAGATGGGCGACAAAAATTACTTTGGACCACTTTGGCCAGGGACAAAAAGGATTTGCTACCTGCTGGATAAGAAGCAAGCTTGGAGCCTATGCGGTGCACATGATGGAACTTGGTCCTATGTAACACGCTTTTGCACTTCTTGACGGCTATATTAAAAGCTTTCTTCAGATTCCGAGTACTCGGAGCTTTGCGCAGTCAAGCATCTGCGCATGCTTGGTACGCGGATTGTTTCTTTTCAGATATTCCCATTCTATAAAATAAATTCCAAAAATCATATAGAACAATATTTTAAACAAATAAATCAAGGAAAATTGTAGTTTTATTATATAAAGAATCAGAATAGCTAGTAAGAATAGCTGTTTATCATTATAGCTATCGCACCATCTCTGTATTGTTGCTAGAACTTTTTACCGGTTGTCCAATAGACTTAAGGCACGTAATATTTTATGGGAACCAAAACTTAAGGCAAGAAAATCCTAAAATGGATAAAATAAAAAACATCGATACGTTTTTTTGACAACAGTTATAATCATAATGTTTAAATATTTTTTTCGTGGTGTGAAATATCATGGTGCGACAGTTACCTGAGGAGATACGTTAATACTGTGGATCGAAGTTTTGGGTCACTCGAACAACCATCAAAATTACTCATCTCGATCATATTGGTTAATGACATATTTATTTTAGTATTTATTTTAAAAAAACCATACATAAAAGAATTATAGTTTTAAAGAATTCTTGTTAGTGGTCTCACTTTGTCTGGGACACAATGAGTTGGTCGTCGGACAAATAAAAGTTGATTAACCCATATAGTAATGTGTGATTTAAAAGCAGGATTCCGCAAGGCCAGATTGTTGTGGCAATTTCTTTTCCGTGAATCTTCAATATTATTTTTATAAAATATCCAAAAATATTATTATTATTAATAGTAATCATTAATACAAAGATCGAATAGACACAAATAAAGAAAGAAAGAGAAGAAAGAACGACTTTACCGTTCTCCCAACAGAAATAAGGAACAAGTCAGCAGAAGCTACTAATTACTTTGTGCTTGTTGCAGAGATCTGCCACAAGCATTTTTGGTTTTAACGGTTTCTTTTTTGCCGTAGCGAGTACCTATGAGAAACCTAACGTCTTTTATCACTATCAAGAAAGGAATTATTCTTTAGGTTTGTGTCTTTGTATCAACAATAACAACAAACTAGTGGAGTATTTTCACAAAAAAAAATGCACCTGTAAACTTTATAAATATCATTGTAGTTAAAATCGGGTGTGTAATGGAAGATATAATAACAAATAATTTATTTTCACTTGGTATAATAACATTTGATATAAATTCTAAAGATATAATCACTCACTGTATATAATCAACAAAATCTATAACAACAAAAGGCATAATTTCAATGTGTATAATGAGCCTTCAGTATAACAAACATTAGATATAAAGATTAAGTGTCATAATGAACAAATGGTATAAGTAGTACCAGTATAATGTATTAAATAATATAACACAATATTTCGTTTTACGAATAGTTGAAGCGCCCTACAAGATTTTTTTTATTCCATTAAATGTACAATCGCAAAATATAATTGTTTTTGTATAGCTTTATGTGCTTTTAGTGTTATAAAATATATTTATTAAAACTTTAAGCAGAACATTTAATTGCATGTACTAATCTAAAGTAAACCCACATGAGGAGGTCGAACCAACTAGCAAATGCAAACAAATTCGATTCTGGCAGTTTTGTCATATACTAACCTAACCTAAACCCAGAGGAGGAGGCCGAACCAACTAGCAAATGCAAACAAATTCGATTCTGGCAGCTTTGTCATATACTAACCTAACCTAAACTCACAGGAGGAGGTCGAAGCAACTAGCAAATGCAAACAAATTAGATTCTGGCAGCTTTGTCATATACTAACCTAACCTAAACCCACAGGAGAAGGTCGAACTAACTAGCAAATGCAAACAAATTCGATTCTGGCAGTTTTGTCATATACTAACCTAACCTAAACCCAGAGGAGGAGGTCGAACCAACTAGCAAATGCAAACAAATTCGATTCTGGCAGATTTGTCATATACTAACCCAAACCCATACGAGGAGGTCGAACCAACTAGCAAATCCAAACAAATTCGTGTCTACTGTACTTACAGTGACTTTGTGTATTATCCCTCCAGCAGGCAGGAATGAGTGAAGTAGAACCATAATATCTGTGGCTTTGATGTTGTCCCAGTCCATATTGCAAATTGCAATTCTGTAAGAAGTTTACTTATTTTATTGCGTGCTTGTTGGAGCCAGCAGGCATGATTGGATTAAGATATAAAAGTATTTCTTTTGTATAGGTAGCAGGTAAAAGTATTTCATTTGTATAGTCTAGGGAAATAGAATTGAACAAAACAGAAAAAAAAAAATTTAATAGAAACTAGATATCCTGAAGTTGCTTTGAGTCCAATCAGATGGAAGGAATTTTACTTTGTATCTGTTCAGTGTTTGTATCAATAGATATAATATTGCAAAAAAGTTGTTAAAACCAAAAATAAAATTTAATTATAATGCTGAAAGAGAAAAACAACTTCAGAATTCGCTACAAAAAATACAAAAATCATATCGATGAGTATGAATTAAATATTTTAAGAAAAAGGTGTGAAATTAAAACGAAAGAAAGCCAAAGGAAATTTATTAACAGTGTTGAAGATAATATAGTTTCAAACTGTAAGTTTTTCTGGTCGTTTGTGAAAATTAGACGTCGTGGTGCAAACTCTTATCCAGCAGAAATATCAAACGGATGTATTAGTTCCTCCAGTGGTCCCGAGATCTTCAGTTTAATTGCAGATTGGCAAGAAATTCTGTTGCGGCGAAAAATTCTGACAGTCAACTTCTCGGCGGACGATATTGGTTTAATAATGACGGATTCACATCTTTTTATCTCAGCAACAAAGCTATTCTTAAAAAAATAAAAAGCCTGGACATCTATAAGGACGCTGGTCCGGATGAATTGCCACCTGTATTTATTGCTTCACGTGCTGATGGTTTGGAGAGACCTCTTCGTTTTATTAAAAAAACATTAAACAAACTCGATATTTCGAGTTCTCATGTTTTCGCGATTGTTACACATAGGAAATGGAACTATTTTTCCGGATTTAAATCGCGTATATTTGTTTTTTCAAACAAACCAAAGTTTCGGGCCTTTTACAGTTCCCATGGTCACGATTGACTCTTCGTGTAATATTTAATAAATCACTTGGAAGTGGCATTTTTCCGACTGTTTGGGAAGAGCTAAAGTTTTGCCCATATTCAAATCTGGCGATAAGAAGTTGGTTAGTAATTACAGGCCTATTTCATATTATAACAATATGTCTCTTAATCCCTCAAAGTGTTTCTACACACCAATCACTCGTAAAGATAACCCATTTAGGTTTATATACAATATCAATAGTGTTACGTTAAATGAGGTCGACAGTATTAGAGATTTGGGCGTGATAATTGGTAAAAAACTTACATTTTTGCATCACATGGAACTAATTATAAAAAAGCATCTAGGATGCTGGGATTTACAATACGAATCGGAAAAGTCTTTAGAAGGCCATATACTAGAATACTAGATACTTTATTATACAATAGCTTTGTAAGGAGTATTTTAGAGTATGGGAGTATTGCTTGGAGGCCATATTATGCGGTTCACTCTCATAGGTTAAAACGAATTCAGAAAAGGTCCTTAAGACATCTTAGTTATTTACGAGGTTTGGATAAAAAGAGTATCTCGTTCGAGATCCGTCTCAAGTTTTTCAAAATATCTCAATTATCTTTGCGACGTGAAATGCTTGATCTAGTATTCTTATATAAATTAATAAACAAAAAAGTTAATAGTCCGCAACTTCTCTTTAAAATACAGTTTAAAAAACCCTCTCGTCTACCAAGGTACCACGTAAATATTTTTCATCCCCCATTGCGCAAAAGTATCCTAGGTTCAAATTCTCCATTTGCTCGAGTTGCCATGATCATCAATGCTCTACCTCTTGAAATGGACATCTTCGTAATCTCATTGCCTCGCTTCAATATCGAGTCGAGACAGTCAATATTGCAATTTTTGGCACATAAATGAATGTTATTTGTAATGTATTATTTTATAATTTAATTTGTTAATACAATAAATATACGTAATGTAAGTGCAGTAAAACTGAATAGTAAATTAATAATAATTGTCTTAACCATAGATTTAGTATGTCTTAACTTTCATATGAGTATGACATGTTATGCACGGCATGTTCACCTATAATTGGTTAAGCATTTTAACTGTAATACCCTGTCGGATATGTGTAAACTATTGTAGTAACCGAATGTATTAAGCATTGGTGAATTTAAATAAATAAACATCTGTAACAAACACATAGAAAGATTCGTAAGTTCTGTTAACTCCATTGGTAGCTCAGTTGGTACAGCGGTCACTTTGGTATGACACAGACCCAGGTTAGAGTCCAATCAGATTGAAGGATCATGGTAGTAAAACATCGTAATATTAATATTACAGTATATATAATAATTTCCATTTTTTATTTTAATTTGAATTGTTACTGCATATTACATGCACAAAAGTTACAATTAGTTTAGTTTGAAGTTTAGTAAATACACTCTGCTTATTCCAATCTCTGCAAACATTAGGGTTAATTCAATTTCACCCTAAATGTGTGACTAAAAATTAAGGTACGGACAACGGCACATCAGACTACACATTTTTGTTCGAAAATCGTCTCCAGTGCAACGGAACAAAACACGTCAATGTGCAGCTTGATGTGCTGGCGTGTGTACAAGAGAGGGAACAATAAAAATAGGAGGAATTGTTGAGAATGATAATGCTATACTTCGTTTCAATCCATTTTACACAAAAAGTAAACAAACAAGTCACTGACCCAACCGTAGACGATTCAGTGATGGCCACCTGTAATGCACTACAAATCTCAATTTCTTTAATTGAGTCATACTAGCCATTTTCTCACATGAAAATAGTGAAAATACATAATTTCCGAAATCTTCATTTTAAATCTTCCTTCAAATCCTTACACTTAGATACTCGTTCAATTGCGATTGAAATGTTCGATTTACTAATTGATTTCAAAATTAATTTAATTGAATGAACTGAATATTTTTTATCGTACAGCATTACGCAATCAAGTCATATAAGTATAGATGAAAAATAAGCTTTATTTCCTTTGCCTTACGTATTAAGTACTTAGGTGAATGAATTCAGGTGAATTAAGTTAATGGGTACTTGTGTCGTAGTCAAAATAGATGGTTGCCAAAAATTATAGTTTTCTCAACATTATTCATTCAAAAATAATTGAAAGTGTCTCAAGTGGCCAGAGCAAATGAGTAAAACCCAAGTCCCACTGACAAAAAGGTTCCATTTTAAATTTTTATGGAATTGATATTGAATTATTTTTTGTGAAATTATTCCACTAGTTTGTTGTATTAATAATTATAACAAAAAGGTTCCATATTAAATAAAGGAGTGAATGCAGTTTACTTTTATGTTCACCAGGTGAATTAGGTGAATAAAGGTTACTTTTATGTTTATCTAATGCACCCAGGTGAATTAGTTCTGGTGAATTAAGTTAACGCACCCGAAAAATAACCTCACTTTTGGAGTACCATTTTTCAAATACAATTTTACGATGCTATTAAAATTAATATTGTTGACAACAGTGATGAGTTACCAAGTCGAAATCTTCGAAATATACGTGAAAGTATTACTTATTCGACTTATTGAGTGATTGCTTTAAAATTTTAATCAAACAGGTTTCTTTACTTTCTTGTTTAAAATGGATTGGAACAGACTATAATACTAAAATACCTATTAATTCAAATTGAAAAAAAAAAACATAAGAACAAGCAACATACCGTTTAGCGGATTCCTCTGTAGAGTCAGCATCAGCATCTAACTCTCCCCACTTATGCTCCACATCACTGTCTTCCTCTTCATTACTGCTTTCCTCTTCTGATGAGCTATCCGTTTGTAATATACCTTTAAATTAAACAAGTTTTTACAATGCATTTTTTGCTCTAGAAGATACTGAAGAATTTTATTTTAAATCACTTCTAGCAGTGGGACATTGCTAAAGAAGTACTGTTTTATACCACTATGAACTTGTCAATGAACAAAACTTCATATTGTAATTTTGTTAGTCTTCTCAAAACGAATGTTGGAAGTGGCTGCTTTTTTATAAGGGCCAGTTTTCCCCAATCAATTGCATTAGGAGAAAATTGTGCAAAACGCCCTTACAGTGATAATTTAAATTCCTAATTATTCCTAATAATTGAATTACTTATAACTAAAAACTAACATATTTAAAATACAAATACACATTTTGTATTTTCATTTCAATTACTATTTAAAAATGTTTTGTGTACATATTTGAAATACACTTTCTTGTGCTGTTCAGATAGTGACAATGATTGTATTTTATATAAATGAAATCACAATACCACATTTTGTATTGTAATTTTTCATATTTACATATATAGGGTTATTCCTAAAAGACTAACAACCTCAGAGGGCTCAATTACTAACATCATAAACAACAATGTTTGTTCCATAACTTAATGATTTATCAGATTTTCACACAAACATAAAAATATTGAAATAGACCGCTCTAAACAGAGATAACTCTGTGCGATAGTAAAAGAAAGTACCCACCACCAAACTATTTTTATGAATGACAGAATGCAGGAGGCATAGCTAAACCACTTTCTACTGAATACAGATCTAAAGTTTTAGCCAGTCTTATTGTTTTGTAAAAAGTCATGGAACAAAAGTGGTTGGTTATTATATTAGTAATGGACAATAGTACTTCGAGGTAGTTTGTAATTTATATTCTTTCATAATGACACCTTTTTCTTAACCCCGATTGTGTATATTGTAATTAAATAGACATTAACACACCTTCTCCACGTGCATAGTCGACATCAAGATCCTGTAATTTTTCTTTGGTCTTTTTATCTAGTTTACCCCGAACCAATTTGTCATTTTTTAATTTAGGCGACTTTTCGTCCTCTTCTTCGATACCAGATGGGGTGGAAGGACGTTTGACGAATCGTCCTGGTTCATTCTCGCCTGTACCAATATCTTTATCAACTTGTACAACTTCCTCGTCAGAATTTTCTGATTCTTCAGCAGACTCCTCCAATTCATAAAATTTTCTTAAATTCTCAGTAGATGTCTCATTAAGAGGTCTCCCGCGTTTGTCTACAGTGTATTTCACTTTGAATTTCTCATCTTTGAACATCGATTGAAATCTTTTGTCGATTTTTACTTTACGCTCATATTTAGGAATTTGACGGTACCGCGGATCATTTAGGTATTTGCCGAAACGACTGTCTTTTAGAATGTCACCCATGGTAACAAATTAAAGTTGTTAACTAACGGTGTTATTTCTTTTTATACTTATATTTATATTTATACTAATTTTGTAAATAAAATCACAAATTAGAAAGATATAGTAGAATAAAACTAAGTAAAATAACCTCAATCAAAGATATCTCGTCGCACTTGGCACTCACTCACACCAAAGAGAATTTAAGCACTCACACGTGCTCATTCTTCTTTTTTTTAATATTAATGGCTTTGCCTTCGCAACTTCGCACTAAGCCAACGAAAGGGTTAAGGAAGAGGTACGGAATTTGGATGAAAAAGTAAGTTGTGATAAATGGCATACAGGGTCGTATTCCAGAACTCTACTCAATGCTCAAGTCAGGACTCGAGTATGATTTCAAGCACTGGAAATACGACATAATGACAAGGACATGAGAATAGGCTAGTTGACTCTTTTTTGAAGTAGGTCTAAAATGATTAAGAATTGTTCAATTAAAGCAAAAAAAATGTTACCATATTTTTTTGAGACCTAGGTAACCGCAAAACTTAATTTAATGATTTTACTTTTCATACACAGGCGAAAACGCTGTCGGCCATATTAGTCTATAGATTATCTGTGCTGTGACGTCATTGTGCACATAAACAATCATTTGACCTCTGACAAACATTCACCGTTGTGTTAGCACTAAGTTTTTATTAAAAACCATGACTTCTACTAGTTTATACGAAAAGTATAGTAATTATCGTTATTGTATTGTACGAGAATGCAAAAACACATCAATAAAGACCCCAGGAAAGTTATGGATTAGGTACCCAAGGAAATAAACATGCGAAACACCTGGCTAAAACTTGCTAATAAGGAACCAGATTCATTTTCGACTGAAAGTAACATTTATTTTTGCGAAGATCACTTTGACGTAAGTACTTACTTAATATCTTAATCAGTTTCTACAGAAACTTTATATTTAGTTTAAAAAATACAAGTTTTATGGTTATGTACCAAGTCAATGAACAAAATACTAATTTTGTTGTTATTTACCTTTTAGTTAGAAAATGACATGGAAAATTACACGCGGTATAAAATAATGGGTTCTGTTAAAAGGATCCGAATGAAGCCCAGTTGCATACCCTCCAGATTTGACTGCCAAACTGCTAGAAAACGCAAACCTACTCCACCAACAGATGAGCATGCAATGCAACAGCATGCTTCCAAGAGAACAGCATTGGTGCCTGTATCAGGAGATATACAAATCCAGTCCATAGAAATGCCAATATCATTGTTTCATAAAGGTAATATGAGTATGTTTTAATAAAGCAATAAATAGCTCTTTGCGAGTGGATCATAAAATTTGTTTAAACAACTATATTAATTGTTTTCAGAGTTACTCAGTGAAGAAGATGCCATACCTACGTGTACTTCTCATGAGAAGGAGTTTCATGACAAGGCAGTGCAAGTAGTACAGCATAACATTCAGTTCTGTGATCAAGCAGTACAAGTTCAACCATTACATGAACATGTATCTTGTCAAGTAGTACAACATCGTGCTCACAAATTGATTCAAGCATGTGTTGCAAAACATTATAGAAGTAAACAAGTGCAATTCAATGTGGCTGTGAAAGATACTGTATCATCACCAATACAACTGTTTGCTCATCAATCAACTTCAACATCACCTAATAAGCCGTCTATGTCTGGTCATTCGTCAACAAGAAGAAAACTAATTTTTACTGAGGAAAAATATGACAGTGATGTATCTTATACATTATCTCAAGAAGGATCAACCTTTGACTCATCTCCGTCAAAACCATCAAGTCAAACTACTGAAGACAGTTCACAGGAAAAGATTATAAAAGACCAGAAATTAAATTTACAGAGTACCCTATCTAAGATAAAGAAAAATCCTAGAATGTATATTGGGATACCAGCAGAGCTTTATTTTATAGTTGATATTATTTCAAAACACACACAACAATCAGAGAATCATATTTTATTATGCTTAGTGAAAATAAGATTAAATAGAACCTTTTCTCAGTTAGCAGATGATTTTGATATTTCACTGTCTCAAGCAAGTAAAATCTTTTACAGTAAATTACCTTCCATTGTTAATGTTTTATTGCCTTTCATAAAAACATTCACTAAAAGCACAATTAAAAAAAACTTGCCCATAGCATTTCGCCATAAATATAATAAGGTAAATTGTATTATAGATTGTTTAGAAATAGAGATTCAAAAGCCAAAAAAAGTTACTCATCAGGCACTGACTTGGTCAGAGTATAAAAAAGCTAATACCTATAAATACCTCATATCATGTACACCTGATGGATTAGTCAGCTTTGTGTCTAATGGATATGGAGGCAGAATCAGTGACGTTAATTTACTTGAACACTGTAAATTTCTCGATAGTTTGGAACCAAGATCTTTCATTTTAGCAGACAGAGGTTTCAAACACATAGAAATATATTTAAAACAAAGAGGTTTTACTTTACTAAGGCCTCCGAGTGTTGCTGTTGGGTCAAAATTGACCAAAAGTGAAAGTAAACAAACAAAAGAAATTGCTAGCCTCCGAATTCATGTGGAAAGAGTGATTAGAAGAATTCGCGAGTTTTCAATTCTGAAGCCACACTCGGTAGTTAATTTAAATTTATTACATATACTAGATTTCTGTGTAATCACAGCCTGTGCTCTCATAAATTTACAAGACTCACTTATCAAATAAAATATCATGATTCAAAATTCAAAATTATTTTATTCAGTTTAGGCTACATATAGCTCTTGTGAACCTCATTATGCCATCGGTTCGTAAGTCTACTCTGGGCAGGAGATCTTGTACTGAGAAGAACCGGCAAGAAACTCAGCAAGTGTCCAGCTCTTTTCTCCCTTACAGGGTCAAAAATATTGGAAAATGTCCTATTTTGTATGTGTAAATAATACCAAATAAAGATTATTTCTATTTCTATTTACTATCATAAAAGAACACTTTCCATTACAAAATAAACACACAAAAAATAAAAAAAGGATAATCACAACATACTAATAAAACTAAGTTTGTAAAAATTACATTACATACTAAATTCAATACTAGCAATGTCATACACATAAAGCAATAAAAAAATATAAATAAATTTAGATGCAACTGTAAGAATACCAATTTCCTTGAACCTAGTCTATAGATGGTACTTGTTGCTTGTTTCTGTAATATAAATATAGTTTCAACATCAGCTGCTGTACCCCACAGTAAGATGCCATACGACATGAATACAAGAATACAAAATCATTTATCCAGTTTAGGCTACAGTAGCTCTTATGAATGTCACTATGCCATCGATTCGTAAGTCTACTCTGGGCAGGAGATCTTGTACTTAGAAGAACCGGCAAGAAACTCAGCAAGTGTCAAGCTCTTTTATCCCTTACAGCATCAAAAATATTGGAAAATGCCCTATCATAACAGGACACTTTCCATTACAAAAAAAACATAGAATATAAAGACAACCACTCAAAATGTAAAGAAAAACACAAGTAAAAAAAAAGTGTTAACATATTTACATCAGGTTAAAAAATATTTTTTTACAATGTCATACAGTAATTCCACTACAGTACTCTAGAATAACTTAAAGAAAGACAAAGTGAAAAGTGAGACTATAGTAAATAATACTAAAAATAAGGTGAGTATGCATGAGCCGACAAGCCTCCACAGGCAGCACCAGTTCACGAGTATGACACATGAATCAGCCATTGCTTCGCTCAACCATATTTTAGGGAACGTAACTATGATATCATTGAATGCATTTTATTTACATATTTTACATAGTAACACTTTCATACAACTTAGGGAAAATATTTAGTTTCCAAAATGAAACTACTGGCGACACAAAAATAACTTTGATTCACTTTTGCACAAAACATTTGAATTTGTACTTGAGCAAAACATTTTTTAGTTAATTTACCATCTTTAATGTAATTTTCAACATTTTTTGCTGTAGACGGGCATTTAATTTCAATGAGTCCTTTTTGACTATTAATGCCATCTGGTGATCCAGCAATCATCGGATACTCATTAGAAATAAAGAGGCCACATTTTGTAAACTTAACACCTAATTTTTGTTCTGCAATCTCTCTTACTTTGTCTTCTAACCTCTGGCCACGTTTTATTGCTGGTGTCTGCACAGACCTAGCTCCAAAAATCACTGCAACCAGAGAACCATCTACTGTCTTGCACCTGCTTACTTCATAACACTTAGATGCTGTTATTCTCCCATAACGTAGCTCAAACCAAAGACCACTTTTGTATTGGTGTCTAGATTGCATTTCTGCATTTCTTAAGTTTTCATCATTGAAATTTTTTTTAATTTTTGTTAAAAAACTTTCACAGTTAGGTTCTTTAAATGTATATAATAGGTAATGCAATGATAAAACTGATTTGTTGTCGGTAAAATCTTCAGTATGCTTTAAAAACTGACAAGTTTCAATTTTTCTCTTCTTACATTCATCCATAAATTCTATTAACACGCTTGTATTAGATACAGGATCCTGATATTTTCGTTTGGACATATCTTTTGCATTTATTATTTTTAATGTTGATCCAACTTTGGCGAGATTGGATTTTTTCCAATAGCACTCAACCGATGTGCAAGCAGGCTCTTCAGTGCGACGGTGCAACCACATTAAAAATGCAACAGCATGTTTACAGCCTCCAGCAGCTGCAGGACAATCTTCACAGAGAGCACTCTTAACTTTTTCTTCTTGTTCATCAACCAGTACTGTCACTGTATATTGCTTCAAGCGTACCTTGTGCTCTGGACATATTTTACATTTCACAGTGCAGATTTCATCATCACGTTTAACTTGAACGTAACCTATGGCATCATCGCCGTACGACTCCCTTGCAGATCTGTAAGTAACAAATATAATATTAGTTACAAGCAGTAAGAGGTTATGAGATAGTTTTGTACGAATTATTTATGCTTATTCCATCTTATGTCGTTACATTACATTGCAATACCAAATGCACTGCACTGTAGCGACTGACCGAGGGCGAAAAGGTGTAAAGCAAGACAAAACACTATTTTTCCCCGGCCTTAACTTGTTGCTTTTAAACTTCTATTCGCGCGATGAATAAGCACAAAAGTTTTAACCTACAGTGAAACCTTTACAGTACTTACATAGAAGTCTTGACATTCCTCAGCTCGGCAGAGCAGAAATCTGGGTTCAAGGCAAAAAAATTACCGACCATTAAAATGTCGATTCTTGGCAAATTTGTACTTTCCGCTTTCACAAATCCAGCATCCATGATTGTTTTTATCAATTAAATGAGAAAACAGTAACAGTAACACGTAGATTATGGGACTTATTACGAAAGCTTTACAAAAATTTCACGATCACAACTACAACAAATCTATGAGCACAGATTATGTCAGATTTGTCAGAGTGACATTAGTTTGTTTATATGCACAGTGACGTCACAACATGGCCGACAGCGTTTTCAGCGATCCAAAAAATAAATAAAAATAATATTTTTTAAATGCGATCCTTGAGATCCATCCTTGGCTTTAATTAACTGAAATCGATATATTTTGGTTGCGTAGGTCAAATACTGCAGGAAATACTCATTTATTGTGCTAAATTTGATATGAGTCAAGTAGCTTATTATTTCTAGTGCTTTAAATCATATTCAAGTCCTGACTAAAGCACTGAGTAGAGTTCTGGAATACGACCCCTAGAGAAAAAAGAGATTTAGGGTCGTATTCTAGAACTCTACTCAATGCTCAAGTCAGGATTGCACTGGAAGCACAAGCACTGGAAATACGACCCTAATGGCAAGGACTTGTGTATGATTTTCAGTGCTCACTGCAATACTCAAGTCCTTACTTGAGTATTGAGTAGAATTCTAGAATACGACCCTCAAAATGATTTCACAACAGCGGAAAAAGACCTTTTTATTGGATCCGTCGTTTTCGTTCAGTAACTTTAACTTTTGACAGATGTCAACATCAAATGTGAAAAATTAAAGGAAAAATATTTCATTTTATGAAAAATATGATATTTTTCAAAAAGGAAATATTTCCATGACAGACTGTGGCCGCTTTGTCTAGACGTTTTATGGCTCCGGGCGGATTGCAATCGATCGATTTTGGCAATAGAATGACACTTGACGTTTTGTTCAGACTGTGGGTTAGGTTATAGACGTGCGCAAAACAGTACCTCGAAAAGTAATGTGATATCACATCACCTTTCCGTAAAAGTAATATTACTCTGCGATATTACTATTACCCACAACATCACACAGTGTAACACACACACAACCAAAAAAAAAAAAAAAAAACACCGACTAATTGACAACCTCCTCCTTTTTTTGAAGACGGTTAAAAAAGCGATGCGTTTTAAAACAACCTATAAAACGCATTTCTAGAACATAAACTTGCATTATAAACAAGATCTACTTACATATTACTAGAGAGAATCAAACAAAAATTACGAAATATTACGAACCGTCTGGCAACCCACACTCACCCTGGTTAAATTTTACATTATAAATTGCCACGTAATCAAGCAATGATTAACAAGTTATGCAATTTCATTTTAAATGTCTACTGTTTAATTCGTTTACACCATCTAGTAAGTTGTAAAGTAACAAATGCACTCCAAAAATCAGACGTTAATTATAAGTTGTTACATAACCTCACTTTTACTAAATCTCTTATAGCTCTGCTTTCAGTTCAATTCGCAGAATTTTCAGTGATGGTACATCAATACCTACGCAATTAACTGATACTACCTTCATGTTTTTACATCTTGGATTGATTGTATGAAAGCGTATCCATCTCCTTCTAGATTACCAAGAAAGATCGAAATATATTTAACCAAGCACAAGCACTGATTAACAAATTATGCAATTTCATTTTAAATTGTCTACGGTTCCATCCTTTTACACCATTTAGTAAATTATGAAATAATTGGGGTATTAATACAAACATCGTTCTACTGCAATATTCCAAATTAGATGCATTTACATTGCATTTCGCATAATAGTATTAAACAAACATCACTCCGTGATGTTCTAAGCATCACGCGTAATATAAGCATCACGTGTACTGTTTCAGGTAATATCACGCGGGTAATGTTTCGGGTAATGCATCACGCGCGTACTGTTTCCGAGCGATGCATCACGCGGGTAATGTGTAATGCTAACATCACTCCGTGATGCTAACATCACGCGTAATGCTAACATCACGCGTAATGCTAACATCACGCGTAATGAGAACATCACGCGTGATGTTAGCATTACATTGCATCATAGCATCACAGTATTGCATCACGCCGAGTACTGTTTCGCGTAATGGGTGTTAGTAGCGACACCTGGCAGCAGCGCTACGTAACCCTACGGCACGGTTAGCAATGTCCGATCAAGTAGTACGTCGAAAATTTGCTGGGTGGCGCTATTAATATAGATATTTACTATATTTAGTTCATTTTGGGAAACTCCCAGAGCACCCCGACATGGTCTATGTAATGGGTAATGTTATGAGTAATGCATATTTTTCCGAAGTGATGCGTGATATAACAGTACCCTGTCGCGTGATATCACCTTTGTAATATTACTCACATTACTTACACATGTCTATTAGGTTATAAAAAATCGAAATTGTTGCAAAATTATCTAGAAATATATAAAAAATTTGAACAAAATGAATAGCATTGGCGAAGAGTGTACAGAATTAAAGAAAAAATATGATGATTGCTTTAACTCGTGGTTTTCAGACAAGTTTCTCAGGGGAAACAACGATGATTCCATATGCGCTGATATCTTTAAAGTTTATCAGGATTGCGTAAAGGTAAAGATTTTTGCATAATTGATCGTTTGTTACAGTAACCGGCTTAATATATTTATAGGATTTAGATCTAAATTTAAAATGTTTAATTTCAATAAAAAAATAAATGCTTGCTACTATAAATATGACTACAGTAAATGTTAATTACCACAAACTCGAAACTTTCAGAATGCAATGAAGCAACAAAACATTGACTTCAAGGAAATTGACAAAGATGTACTAGGCACTGAAAATGAGAACCGGCCACCAGGCAGCAGTTGACATCCATTCAGCATGATGTGCATGCTTAATCCTGCCACTTGTTGGAACATTTTCACTCGAGACATGTTCAAACATCAACAGGAACAAATACAGTGTGATAAAAATTATGTAAATAATAATAATAATGAACTAAATGAATGTGACTTCATGTAACTTTCAATTTTAACCATACAGTGCAAGCAGTTGAAACTGGTTTTTAAATTATATTCCTGTAAATATGCTTGCTTGTCACTATTCAATGTTTGCTATTTCTTAGCTGCTCAAGCACATTAAGGAATTTAACATAGACATATTAATTATCAGTGAATGTTTTGTAGTGTTGTATACAGCACGTTTTGCTAAAATTTGGATATATCTGTACCAGCCCCAGTAGCATGGTTACGCATGATAGTCGCGACAAAATTGAAATAAGCGCCCTATTGGCTATCCAAATTAGATCTGATTGAGACAGCCAATAGCATGCGCTTATTTCAATTTTATTGCGCGGGTCGAGACTATCATGCATAGCCATACTACAGGGGCTGTAAATGTATCATGTAATAATTGATTTAATTATTTAATAGTAGATGTTCAAATTCAATACCTACTATGTTTGTGTAGAACTATATTTAACAAACACACAAGGAGATATGTGTCTTCAAGCCTAGTCATGCTATGGTTGCTGATAAAATCATGTGTCAGGTTATATTGGCTTACATAGATTTTTACCATTACTATTATCATAATACTTTAAAAACATTATCAAAAGATTCAAACATTATGTTATATTATGTGAATACTGAGGAATGAAACAATCAATTTTGCCCATAACTAGTATTAACGATTTACATTGCAGGCAACCATTAAAAACCAGAGTTAGTTGCTATTCCTGATATATAGTGCAACCAATTGTTAATGTTAGGTTTTCCAAAATGTATTTTAAAAATTATGCATTTAAGTGCAGTATGTTTTGTTTTGTGCAATGTTTTATAGTCTATGTGTAAAAATAGTAGTAGATATTTAAAAATAAATGTTTGTTTATAGTAAATATGTGTTTTAAGTAAATGTGATGTTGTCTCCTTATAATTTAATCTATATTATAGCCACCAGGGACTTGTAATTGAATACTTAAACCTTGTCATTAAACATAAGTTTTTATTTTGTATTAAACTTACATTAATTATAAATATTGTTAATTATAATAATCAGTTAATGGAACATGTGTTAACAATTTTTTAATATATCTTGCCTTAAGATTCTTTTCGAGTTTTTAAGATTCTCTTTAATTTGATAATTGCTACTACATGAAACAAAGGTTATAAAATAGTAGTTTATGTGACTGTTACATAATGAAAGGCATTAAAATACGAGTGTGGGTTTATGATACGAGCCGACAGGAGCGTTTCATGAAAACATGTCACAAGTGTTTCAATGCCTAATGTATAGTTACATCATTGACTTACAAATAAATGGACGACGGGTCTAATACAAAAACCACGAAAAAAATGTCCCAAGTCAACCTATTCGAAATTTAAATTGTTATGTCATCGCAGTATCGCGCTGCCCGTAGAACAAATGAAGACTAAAGCGGAGTGTGGCGCTCTGTATACGATTTTAGCGCCTTACAAGTGCGGACACTTTTTAGCGCGGACCCGACGTCCATATAATTGTAAGTCAATGAGTTACATACACTGTTTATCTACACACAATATATTATAAGCTCTCTGTGATGTGTTCAGGAACTGCATGTTACGACTGCCGAAATGGCGGCAAATAAAAACTTTTGTCACGCATGTCACACAAACGCAGTTTTTACTTTTATTTCATAGGCAAACTAGAATCAGCCCCAACTAGTATCATATAGTTCGGTATCAAGTAACGTGTGAAATTGTCAAAATTGTTTGCTATTGACATTTAATTTTGAATAAAACTTCTATCTCAACCAAATCTCAACTGATATTTTATTGAGGTCAAATCAAATTGTTTTGTTTTTCAGAGATATTCGAAATTTTAATGTAATAATAACATCAATCGATGTTATTATGAAGCAATAATATTTTCACAGATAAGAAATTTGTTCTAACAAAACAGTTTACTTTGATGCTGGTCGTAATTTGCTGTTTTTGAACACAATATAGAGAGTTTATGGTATGTCTGTAGGTAAATTATGATAATTTACAGAAATATATGCTATAACATCATAAAAATGTACTCTCATTACAAAATTTAATTTTAACATGCTAATATATCCCTTAATAGCGACAGTTACTCAGTTAATCAGCAAATTAGTTGAAACCAAATTTTTGTACTGAGACGGAAAGTGTTAACTAGCCTGCAGGTCCCAAAATCACTAAGTTAACACAACAAGTACCAAGACTCTAAATGCAGTAATAGAATTCTATCTTTGGCTAGTATCCCTGGAACGGTATGCAATGCCACGGCTTTTCATCTCTCTGATTACACCGGCGGGCAGGCGGCCAGAGACCGAGATTGCGTACACACCTTTACAAAAACGACCTGAAATAAAAATTATGTTAGGTACTGAAATATTACACATTACTTTTACTGCTTTTTTCCAAGTAAAGAAGAGTAAAATCCAACTTACCCTTTTCGCCTACTTACCAAGAGTAAGTTCACTTCCAAGGAGTAATAAATTGTTATTTTAACAGTTAAGTATTGTTACATATATAAGAAACTATATAAATGTACACTGGACACAAAAAGAATATAATAGTAATGTTTAATTACTTACTTATCCGCTGCCATTTGCAGACCCAACTGTCTTCTGGACTCATGACTGCAATCATTCTAAAATATAAAAATGTTGATTGTTATGTCTAATGTGCCATTTAAAACAACAGTAATACAAGTAAGTGTAAGTAATGTGATATCACTGTTGGAGTGTCAACAATACTATAATGAGATTCAGCCTGATTGCTGTCATTATTAAATAGTCACCACATTTATTGATACAGAATTGCATTGAGCTGGTCAGAAAATTTAAGGCTGTAATAAGAGCTCAAGCCGATTGTGTATATAAGTTGTGTGGTAACTCCTTTTAGGTCACTTTTTGTAGTATTAGCGTAGTTTAGAGTATTACGGCCTCGTATCCAGGAGATCTTAGGTTGTGGTGTGCATCTGCACTTTGGAGAATCTTTAATTCATGAGGGAATTCCCCAACCTGCATTGAGGGAATCATGCCTTAGTTAAAACCTGTATCTAGCTCTGGGCCATATAAATGGTGTGATCAATATTAATCACGACTGAAATATGATAACTCTACTCATGATAAAATTAGCACTTTTGCTTACAGTAAAACAACCTGTATATTGATAACAGTAATTGACACTATGCTAATTTCAAAATGGCAACTTTTCACCAGAGCCTATAAAAAGGAAACTTGTGATAACTTTTTATTTTCAAACATGCATAATGTTAATGATTTATTACTACATAATACATAATCATATATTTTATAAAATATATGATTATATTGCTATTTAATCATTTTCTTAAGCTAAATAATTTAGTATTAAATAGACAAAATTTCACATATTATATACATTTTGTTGTACAGATTGCAGCACATCAAGTTACAAATTCAGAAATCTTTTTCCAATGCACTGGAGGCGATATTGTAACAAGTGTATAGTTTCGTGTGCTGTTGTCTGTGCATACTGCGCCCGTCACCCTGAGACATAATATGTTGACAATTGTCTTATGTAAAAAAAAAAACGGCAATTCTGACATTACTGCTTGGCGGTAGAAATCGGCAAAGTGGCAGTACTTACCTGGATGAACTCTTTAACAAGGAGCTCTACTTTTACTCAATGCCTTTTTTTTACTCAAAGCCCTAAGATACCTATTTCCTTTGTCCCTAATACTTAACAAACTGTGCCGTAAAATACATTTTGGTATGACTTCTATAATGCATGATTAGTGAATGACGTTTTAAGAAACTTTTTAAGCCAATTTGATCTTTAATTAGATTACATAAATACAAATTTTAACCAAAAAGCAGGAATGCGTTTACACTTTTCTGTTGAATGCGTAAGAAGGCTCTCAGAGCCAAAACGTTGGCTTGGGAGTCAAGTACAGGTATCTTGGGGTATCGACTGTTCCTGTAACATTTATGTACAAAAATATGCATTATAACTCTAATCGAATCTATACTCTAATTGAATCTATATAACTCACCCATCAAAATTGTTGCTAGTACAATCATAAACGTTGTCTTTATTGTTCTTCATGTGAAGAAATTCATCACAGTTGTCACAACCATCGTATTCAAACTGATCAAATGTCTGTAATGAAAATGCTTATTGGTTATTAGTTTTAGGTTATGTACAAGTTATCGATAATTTTTAAACACGTAACGATAAATTTTACACATTTTGGAATGTAATTTAATTTATTTAAAACAGAAATTACTGGAATAGATGTAGAAACTGAAACCTGTATATTTATTCATAATTACTGCGTACCTTTATTAAAGAACAAACTAAGCACGCTCGTAGACCTCTCAATTCTTTTGGTACGACGTCCATGGACATTATCTAACGAAAAATACTGCAAAGAAGGAAATTTTAAATAATTTTAAATAATCTATCTCGGTATTATTTTCCGCTACAAAAAATTGCCACAAACCACCAAATCACATTTGAATCTTTTAATAAATTCTTTGGCTTCTCGCGAATACAGTTTTAGCCACGTTTGAGGCAACAACAATATTTATATTTTTCTCGACTAGAAAATACTGCAGTGGATGCTTATATTATATATTAAATATTTTTTGTTGTGTCTAATGTGTTTATAGAATGGCAAAAAGAACTTTGGGTTTTTTAAATAGTCTTTTAAGTGGCGGGCAGTCATTATTCATTCACAACACAAACGTACTAGGGATGTTATTCATGTTTTCACTGTCACTATATCGCTTAGCTCACTGGCTAATAAAAGACGTTGGAATTTTCAACACGGCTTATTACGGGTATTTCTTCTTGTACATGTGTTTCCATACCATTTGCTTTTTATAACTTGATCCTTCTTTTAGAAACTTTTCCATAATGTTGTCATAATCATAAATCGAAAATTTAAAACTTCTAACGTCAATTTGTGAATGAAATTTGTGAGCCTGTGATCCGCCACGCGGGCAGGAGACTGCTAAAAGGGGGCATTAATTATCCTGCATTTCAGTCCACCTAACCGTCCGCCGCGTAATGCAGGATTATAAATGTAGTCGCAGCGTGCAAGCCATCCTGCAATACGCCCTGCGAGACTCCATACGTGGGCCATAAGCAGGGTAGGTAGTGTGTGAGTAGTCTCGTGCCTGCGCGGCGGATTGCTATACAGGCAGTGAATGGGCTGTTTTACACACTGCATTATGGTTCATCGTCAGTTCCGTTGAATTTCTTGCACGTGAACTCGTTAACTCGTCGGTTAACTTGCAAATTAATATGCCAAATTTACGTGCTTTGCTTCTTTGATATTGTACATAATATAAAAATATTAGGGGTTAAAGTATGAAATTGCCGTTTTATTGCAATAGGTTCTTTGAATTTTCATAGAATCTTCATGGTTTGAGGTTTTCGAATGAAACTTTTTTCAAATGGTTTCTGTGAGTTTTTTTTTTTAATTTGAAACATTTGAATATCAACTTTCAATTGTTTTTGTTATTCAATTTAGACAAGAAAGATGGATACTGCGAAAATTCGAGTGATTTTTGAATACGAGTTCCGACGCGGAACTAACGCGGCAGAAACAGCCCGCAATATCAATGCTGCGTTTGGAGAGGGGTCTACTAATGAACGCACCGTGCGATTTTGGTTTAAACGCTTTCGTGATGGAAATTTCGACTTAAAGAACGAGCCACGAGGAAGACCGCCCACACAGGTGAATAACGATGAATTAAGAGAGATAGTGGAAGCCGATCCTAGTCAAACTACCCAGGAATTAGCGGCATGGTTTAACGTTACCTTACCCACAATATTGACTCACTTGCGTCAAATCAATAAAATAAAAAAATACGAAAAATGGGTGCCTCATGATTTGACTGATCTGCAGAAAGAAACGCGTGTTGAAACTTGTGTTGCCTTGTTGAACCGGTACAGAAATGAAGGAATATTGGATCGAATTGTAACATGTGATGAAAAGTGGATTCTTTATGATAACCGGAAAAGAAAAATGCAATGGCTGACCCCAGGTCAAATGCCACAACAGTGTCCTAAAGCAAAACTTACCAATAAAAAGGTAATGGTAACTGTTTGGTGGTCTCAGCATGGTGTTATTCACTATAGTTTTCTCCGATCTGGTCAAGCAATAACGGCAGATGTCTATTGTGCCGAACTCCGAACCATGTTGACAAAACTAGCAGTAAAACAGCCCCGACTCATGAATCGATCTTCACCATTATTGCTCCACGACAACGCGAGACCTAACACAGCACGAGAAACCATTTTGACCCTTCAGGAACTGCAGTTAGAAACCATTCGTCATCCTCCGTATTCACCAGACCTTGCTCCAACGGACTACCATTTTTTTCGTGATTTGGACAATTATCTACGTGACAAGAAGTTTTCTTCCCAGGAGGCAGTACAAAATGCTTTCACACAGTTTGTGCAGTCTAGATCGTCGGAGTTCTATCGCAAAGGCATTAATAACCTTCCCATTAGATGGCAGCAATGTATAGATAATAATGGCAACTATTTTGATTAAATAAATTTGTTAAAAATTTAAAAAATAAACAATTTAGATTTTCAGTACAAATCGGCAATTTCATACTTTAACCCCTATTAATAAAAGGTTCTGGGGAGAAGAAAATGTTCGCTATTCGAGAGAGAAATTGTGGTTGTGTATGATATGAAAGTTATTGAAAGAATTGATATTGATGACTACCAAAACTTTATTTGAGGATGAATAAAGAGATTTTTAAATTTTTTCTATATAAAGTGGGGCCAAAAATAGCAAAGCAAAACATAAAGATGAGTTGACAGCATTTCAGCAGAACAAAGATTTGTAGCTACATTAAGCTTTTTAACGGCAAGAAACGGCAGTTCATCACGCAGGACTATTGTTACTCCTGCGCGGCGGACTGTTAGCGGTTGTAGGAACTTGCTGTAGTCTTGCAGGACACAGGGGTATCCTGGTTGGCATTCAACGATTGGTTTACACACTGCGACTACATTCATCTGAATTACTCGGAGGACGGCTAAAAGGGAGCATTCATTATTCTGCATTGCAGTCCGCCTTGCCGTACACAGCGTAATGCAGGATTATGAATGTAGTCACAGCGAGCAAGACATCCAGTAATCCTGCGATACGTCCTGCGAGACTCCATTCGTGGGCCATACGAAGGATAGTGTGTGAGCAGCATCGAGTATATAATCAGAAATAGAGACGAAATGTAATTTAATTTGTTTGAAAACTATTCTGCCATATCATTACTGTGACAACTGCGCTCCGATTGGCTACCCCGAGTTCGAAACAATTGATGGGTGTCGTCAACTGTTTTACTTCAAATCGACCAGTTAACTTGAGCTTTGCTATAATGGACGAAAATTGCAAAATTACATATTTAATATTTAATTACCGATGAAATGTGATTCCGTTTGTTTTGTAATTAGATGTTTAGCTGTTTTTCCCACACCACCAAATAGAACAGCACGGCATTGTTAGAGATAATATCTTTATTACAATAAATTCAGAAATTTTTTTGGAACTTACGGAGACGTACACATAGGTCTGCAGTTGGCCTGTCTATATTTCAGTACAAACGGGAGTTGATATTTATAAGAATTGTATCGCTAATGTGTTACCAGTACTTACTTAATATGTTAATGTGTTATTAGTACTTATTTCGTCTCTATTTCTGATTATATACTCGATGGTGAACAGGCACCTGCCTGCGTGGTGGACTGCAATACCGTTAGTGAATGGGCTGTTTTAGTGGACTGCAATGCAGGATAATTAATACGCTTCTACGTTGTAACGACTATAATGCGTTTTTGACTGTTTGCATTTGGATACACGACGAAAAGAAAAACAAGATTAATTGAAATTAAAGACTGATCATGATTGAAGATGGATCATTGGTCAAATTGGTGTTTTAAAGGAATTTAACAATGACTTCAATCTATAAACAAGAGCATTAAGAGCAGCTATATGTTCCATCAATAGTAATAGTGTTTGTTTTACTAGTGTTAAATTTTGTGAAAGAGTAACAGTACCGTCATACGTGGTGCGCACTATAAGTTTCCGGAATGATTAAGAAAAACATGCAAATGGTCAGAAATGAATTTATTGTTTCTCAAATATTCTCCGTTAGCGTTAATGCACTTTTTAATACGAATAAACCAATTTTGAAAACATTTATGCCTCATTAATCTCTAAAACGTATTTCTTATACTCTTCGACAGCCTCTTCAGGTGATGAAAATCGTTGACCGCGTAACTGGTTCTTAATTTTTGGTAATAAATAAATGTCACAAGGTGCCAGGTCGGGATTGTACGCGGAATGGTTCATAAGGTCAACGTTGTTCACTGTCCAAAATTCATTTGTCTGTCTGGCCGTGTGAGAACTGGCATTATCGTGGTGCAAGATGATACGGCGATTACGGTTATTTTTATGGAACTTGTCAATAACTTCCGGCAAACAAATGGTCGTGTGCCAATCACTATTTATGGTATAACGATTCTCCAAAGCAACAGTAGCCACGTGTCTTTTAGTTTTATTAAAAAAGAAGAAGTAATCATCCGCTTAGAGGCACTTTGCGCGCGCGCCACTTTGGTTGATTTCGGCTCATCTCGAAAAACCCATACGCTCGATTGCTGCTTTGTTTTGGGATCGTAACTTTAAATCAATGTTTCGTCACCTGTTACTTTACTTACTGTGTATATGTCCCACACCAAATTTGACGCCCCTTCGTTGGATCTGGTAAGCATGGCATTACACCAAGTGACGTGGTCCGTTTTTTGAGCCTCAGTCAAATTGTGTGGGATCCACCGAGAGCACAGCTTTTTTACACCTAAATGTTTGTGTAGTATTGATTGTATTTAACTCATGCCTGTGCCTAAAGATGCCCGAATCTCATGGTATGTTACATACCTGTCTGTTTTAATTACACGGCGCACAGTATCGATGTTTTTGTTGTTCACAGCAGTGGACGGGCGACTATCACGAAATTCGTCACTGAGATTCACACGATCGCGTTTGGATTCTGCAAACCAAACAACAAAAACAACCAAAAAGTGTTGTTTGCTGATGACACAACCTTGATTTTTAAAAAGTATACATAAATGGAGTGACTTCTTTGGGTTCTCTAGTAAAAATGGGTGTTCCGCAGGGCTCAATACTTGGACCTTTCTTATTTCTGATTTATATTAATGATCTGCCATTCTTTGTTAAGGACCATTGCGAAATAGTGTTGTTTGCTGATGACACATCCTTGATTTTTAAAACAGACAGACATGACATTAACTATGACCATATTAATGATACCCTCTCTAAGGTAGTTTAATGCTTACAATTTATTGCTTAATGCCAAGAAGACAAAATGTGTTAAATTTGAATTATCTAACGTAAAATCGACTAGTCCAAGTATAGAAATAAACGGAGAAAAGTTAGACCTTGTTAATATTTTTATTTTTTATTTATTTATTTATTTATTCACTCTCACATAAGGAAGATTGTACATTATAATTATATGTTAAACAAGACTTAATAATGACTAAAGTTAGCTACCTTAAGCGAGAGTCTGGAGTTCGTACTAGGTAACTAGACCTGTGTTACAAATCTCCAGGCTCCCACCCCGTTACAATTTATTTATTTAGTTTTCAAAAAGGTAAGTATATAATCTAAAAGGAAAGATATGAAGATGTTTCGTGAGTGAAATTTGTGTGTGTGTGTGTGTGTGTGTGTGTGTGTGTGTGTGTGTGTGTGT